ACACGGTTGCTAAGGCAAGCTGGAGTTTCCCCCGCGAATGAAGGCATCTGATTGGTCCATCCTTATATGGCTCATATCTGGTTTTACAAAGAAAGGATTGAAATGTAAACACCAGGATCATAGAGAGCACTAAAACACGGATTTTTAAAGTCCAAAATGGTGAGTGTAACACAATTGGTTACTGAGATAGAGGAGTTTACCTTTCAACGTAAGTCAATAGGAGCCAGAGAAAATTGGAGCATAACTTTGCCCATGAGCACTTCCCTATTGGGCTTCATTGAGCTAGCGGTTTAGCATTGTCCATCTATAAACAGTCTAGGATAACTAGTCACTGGGATGAAATGTAATATATAGCCCTGTTTCCACCAGCGCTATAACCTTGGCCCAACTCCACTCGGCTCTGCTCTACCATGATTGTGTTTCAACCAGCCATTTCTATCCTGTACCAAGCCCTTATTTAGCACTAAAGATACTATTTGGTACTAAAGAGTTCTATCTGACGGTGATTGGTGCACACTGGGGTAGTCTTGTGCAGTTTTTCCAATATGGTTTTACTGCAAATGGGAAATAAATTCTTGAATCTTGATTGGCCAGAGTGCTGCTGGAAGCCATAGTTATTGAGGAATTTCCACAGGTACTGGTTTGTTGTGGGTAGGTTGCTATGGTACCAGATAATAGTGCAATTGACACATAACCAGGTAGAGTGGAGTAGAGTAGGGCTGGTGGAAACAGGGCATTTTGGATATTACTGACTTTAAAATAGAATCGGTATAAGTTTGATTCCATTGGATTGTTTAGTTTCAGGATGTAGAAAACTTATTTTGGTCGCACACAAGTTTCTTTTAAACACAGAGACACATTGTAAAGGGACAGAGAAAATGTGCCAGTAATGAAAAATGCATTTAACTTGTGTTACTTTGAATGTAGTGTATCATTTTTATTTTTTGTAAATAGTTTGTTTTGTTTATTTTTATTTATATAGCCACTTTTCCTGGGCTCAAATACGCATCAATGTCACAAAAAATGAATGTATAATGGACAAAAATTTACTGAAAAAATTTACAAAAATAAAGAAATGCATAAATGTTATGATAAAAATACACAGTAGAATAATAAAACGCTCAAACTCATACACACACGCACACACACTGTCAGATACCACCATGTTAAAAAGGGCCTTCGTTTCCATGGAGACATACTTGAACATAAGGGCCTGCATCTAGTTCAGTCTTTAGTTCATGTTTTTTCACCAACAGTGGATTAAAGACATTTCTAAACATCTCTGGACATTAGACTTCCAGCTGCTCGAGGACAAATGGCTCCTGTGTGTTTGTTATTATATATTATTACATTTCAATATTGTTGTTTCATGTATTCTCGTATCTCTCTTTTCGGCGAATCTACTTTCCAAAGTCCTCTGAGGTGATTGCCGGTGTGATTTTGGGTTATAAACAAATACATTGAAATATGACATTTGTTGACATTGTATATTTGGAGCCGTCCGCACTGTGAGAGCAACAATAGTGTGGGCAACAATGTCTTAAAACATACCCAAGATTACTTTTGTTTTTTGTTCTAAACCCTTTAATAGTTTCCTCAACCATTTGGTAGATCACATTTTCAGTTAATATCTCCTTTAATCATGCTTGGAACTGAAATATTCTCTCTTCTCATCTTACTTGGTTTTAGGCCATTTTACAGTCAAACTGCATCTCGACCATTTGGTAAAGGCTTATAATTAAAAAATAAATAAAAAAAAAACAAAAAAAAACAAATTGTGTTATTAGTACAGCTTAGATTATCCAAAGAATAAAAAAATACCCTGCTTTCTTCAAGGAGTGAATATTAAAGGTTCTGTCAGATTCTATGTTTCTGTCATTCCTGTGTTTGTGTGTCTAGCTGTGTGTTTGTTCTTTGAAAATAAACGTTCTTGTTTAGAATAAAAATATATATCTATTTTATATTAAATGTTGTCTAAAGATGACCATGTCCCACAAGTTGAGAATACACATTTAAAACTAATGTTATGCTTATTTCCACTGCATAGATTCTACTGTACTGAACCATATTTCAAATCTTTTTTCCTTATTGTTTTATCTGAGTATTTCAAAACATTCCCTCTTCTTTAAAGCCAAAGCCTGGATATCGTTGTACACAGTCATGTATTTGTAAGTGCCCTGGTACCACAGCTTGAGAAACCGTTTTAAAAACAGGTGAATGTAAACATACCTCATAGCTGCAGATGTGTCAGAGGCTCCAGAGACTGAGGTGTGGAACGACCTGCGGAACCAGACGCTCCTCTACCTGACACAAGCCACGCCCACTGCAGACAAGCCCCGCCCACTGGCTCTCACCTGGAGCCACAAGTTTAACACTCAGACTCCCAGAATTCTGAAACCTCTAGAACTCCATTCATATTAGTGGAGTATTAAGTAATTCGGCTTTCATCTCAAGTGCTAAAACTGGTAAATATACATGAAATACAGCTAAACTGAAAGCTAACTGCTGCAAACAAAAACAGTGTGTTGCCATGGCGACTAGGGCTTCAAACTGAGATTACTCCACACCAGTCTAGGATCGAGATAATTTAATACATTGAATGACATAGGGAGAAACTGCTTTTAGATACAGAAAGTTATGAAGACCAAAACATAGTGGAGTAATTTTACTTCCAAAACGGATAGCCGTCAGATTGACTGATTTTAGCAATATTCTAGTTGATTTAAATGAAACAGATAAAAAAGGAAGGAACGAACAAAAAATATAGTTGATTAGACTTGAATTTACTTTTCCCCATCAGAAATATGGCCATACCTGCAGGTGAAAGCCAAATCCTGTCTGACCTTTGTAGCTAAAGCCTGGTTCACACGGCAGGATATTTAGGCCGATTTAGACCCGATTTACCCCTTACGACAATCTTAAGAAACGCTCCGATTTCCATAACAAAATCTTACAGATTATCCTGCCGTGTGTGGTGTGTTAAGACTGCACTCGTCGCTCGGAAGGACATCGGGACTGCTCCCGATCTCAAATCGGGGATATCCAACATGTTGGATTGTTTTGGCCCGATTTCTTGTCGTGTGTGGTGTCCTCCGAGGACAAGCGAGCGCGTTGCCATGACTACGGCGTGTAGCCAATAAGAAGACGAGGTGACAAGCCGGTGAGGAAACACCGGAAAAAAACCAAAACACAGCTGCATGGCTTTGACCATTGCCTTTTCTTTGGATTACGTGTCTTCTCTGTTAACAACAAACTGCACACTATCGCCACTGCATCCTCTTCGTCCGCCATGACTGTTTACTCTGAAGTCATGCTTGATCTCGAGAGATTTTGTGAGATTTCCGTCTGACCTGGGAATGCTCGGGGGGGGTGTCGGTTCGTGTGTGATGTTTGTGGCTTGCGTGATCTTGCCGTGTGGCTACGCACCACACACTGCACGACCAAAGTGGTTAGACACAGGATTTTTAATCTCCCCGTGTGGGGTCTAACACGGAGAAAAATCGGCCGACAATTTTAAAATCGTCTCGTGTGAACCAGGCTTAAGCAGGGCAATGCCTGATTAAAACTGAGATGGGTGACCTCCGGGAAAACCAGGTGACACTGTGGGACCGCTATGGCTGTAGAGTGCAAAAATGACACTTCCAAAAGACACTTCTCCCACAGTAGAATAAGTCTGGTGTGTGTTGGTGATGGTTGGAGCGGGCGATGACACATATTGGTTGCCTTCTGTCAGTGTGCCCCAGGGCAGCTGCGGCTACAGTTGAAGTTTACAACCACTATACATGGAGTGGAGTCCACACAGAGAGCACAGTTAGACCACAGAGGTTGATAAGTGACGTTTATTGCCATCACAAGCTTTAGGCCAAACAGAGACTTAAAATTCTTCTTTTATTTTCCCCAAAAGACAAAAAAACAATCAATTTTTCCAACCTCAGTGTTAAACCAGGGGCTCACAACAACAAATGCAGAACCCCATATTTACGTATATTGCAACTTCGACCTCAGAAAATACATGTTATGTTTCTATATATTTTACCCACAAATTTCTCAAATACTCTTGAATATGTAAATTAAACATGATGCAATGAGACATAAGCGTTCCACGATTCATGTGGAAGGTGCAACTCTTCGTTTCTATGTATTTTTACGGTGGTTTTAGCTGTTTTCACCGGACAGCCACTTCACATGTGATGCTTAACACAGCCCTGTCTACAGTTATATTTGAGAAGACATTTGCGATCACATAAGTCATATTATTATTGGTGGGGACAAAACTAATAATCATCCAAGAATCTAGCATAAACTGCTTAAATCGTCTATAACCTCGACATAGGACCATTTTGAAAGACTAAACATGTTTTAAAGTTTTACTGTCACTGAAATGACAACAGCTAGCGTGCTAAAAGCTAGCGCGCTAACAGCTAGCAGGCTAACAGTGCCTCCTTTGTGGTTTTTTGGCAATAAAATGCTCAAGAACACAAAACCTGTCTTCTTTACTGTGGCATAAGAGATTTAACACAGCTGTGTGGAATATTAAGAACACTCTTCATTTAAGCCGTTTTTATTGCCTGTCCTTTTAAAGCTAAAATATTAGCTCGCCATTTGCTTGTTTTGACTATGGGAAAGAAATGCTAATTCTACAAATACATCTGTGTAATCCAGGCCTAAGAATAAGTGACGGTGGCCAAACAATGTGGTTTATAATGACACAAAGTTATGAACCATTATGTATTATGTACCAGCCAAAAGGTAGCCTTCCAAGCTAGCATTGTTTATTGTATTGATGGCCTGACCTACCAACAGCTACCTCTCAAATCCCCATCATTATTGCCCATTATAACATAATTAGCTGCTATTACTTCACTGGTAGCTCCTGTAAGTCCATTTTTGTTTTTTATTCTCTCCTCTCTCTTTTCAACTCTCTTTCCAACCTTGGACCAAGCCCTTCCATCTACCTCTACACACTCCACACACTCATGCTGGTTCTGCCGTCAGAGGCTCTACTTCCGCGGAGGAGTGGGGGACTTCATGAAGCGGGGCGGGGTAGGCGATTTCACTCCACGGGGCGGGGTCGGGGTGGGTGACTTGGGGCCAGGGGTGGAGGCCGGGGTGGATGCTGGGGTTGGGCTCTTCACGGACGGGGCTGGGGTCGGGCTCTTCACGGACGGGGCTGGGGTCTGCGACTTGGAAGGCGTGGGGGTAGGGGTCTTGGAGGGCGGGCCGGGGGACTTGGGTGGGGCCGGGGTAGAGGAGGGAGGGGGCGCGGTGGACGGGGGTCTGGCCTGTCCCAGTTTGGGCTCTGGGATCTGCTCGCCGTGCTTGTAGACGCTGACGGTGATCTCCACAAACTCGCCGCCGTACTTGTTCCTCACGTTGATGCTGTACTTGCCGGAGTCCTCGGGCGTCACCTTGTTGATCACCATGCTGGCGAACTTGCCGCCGTCGAAGGTGATCTTGGTGTGTTCGGTGCAGGCCACTTCCTGCTCGTTCTTGAACCATGTGACCTCGGGAGTCGGGTCTCCCCACACGGTGCAGGTCAGACTCAGGGACTGGCCACGAGACAAGAGACACAGTTTATCACAATAAGAATCAGAATTATTTTTATTGCTATCGTAAGTAACAGGAAGTACTAGGAATTTGCTTTTTGCTCATATGGTGCAAACAAGTTATACAAGTAATAATAGATAGAAGTAGATCAGAGATACATAAAAATATCTAAAATGTCTTAAAATTACTAGGTGGATAGATGGATTCTTTATTGATCCCGGTTGGAGAAATTCAAGTATCCAGCAGCATCCGTACAAACATAAATAAATAAATCATTCTAAAAGTAAATAACAATAGTAATAATGTAACACATATTTATTTAACTCAGACAGATCTGTTGTGAAGTCTTCTGGTCGAAGGAAAATAGAATATCCTAAAAGGTTCCGTCGGCAGTGGAGTGATAGAAGCCTTTTAAAGCAACTGTGTCCAAGTCATTTCCCATAAAATACGGAAAAAATTCTATATTGTCTAAAAACAATGTAGAAATTAAATATACAATGTGACGTTCCATCTGTGGGAGCTTCTCATTTTACTGTGTTAAACTGGATTCATGAATATGTACAAACACGTAATCCGAGTTTTTAAAGGAGCAGAATGTATAAAATGTGGTCAAAAGTGGTACTGCAGCCTCTCCCACTCTCACTGACTCAGGTTGCCAGATATGCAGATGGCTTAAAGATCACGCCATTTCTTACCATTTCACAGTTTCTAAGTATAGAATAATGCAAACTGCAGATTTAAGCCAGAATAAATGTAATGTAATTTGAATTTTTCTGCAAAGAGGATTGTTTTGCGGTCAATACAGAACGTTTATTGCTGAATCACATAATACCTGTCTCCTGATAAGAATTTGACTACAATAATAACAATAAACCAGGCGTAGATTTTTAAATACGTCTCTACTCTTACTTTCATAAACAGGAAGTAAAGGCACAAAGTCACACAGACAGATAATCTTATTTCTTTTGTGTATTTTTAGTGTTATTCCAAGTCGTGCATAGAATCCATCTCTGATTCATTTTTATAGTGTGATTTTACAGTGTTTTCTCTCTGGTTCTTTTGTTATAAGCGACCGGCAGTAGATGACAGACAGGAATGCTGCTGTTCCCGTCAGACTCCAGAACTAAGATGGCAGCTGCAAGTTACAAAGTGAAATCTATACCGGGAACTATTATTCAAACTCTTTCTATGATCGTCACGTTTAAGAATGTGAAAACATGTCTTAAGTCTGAGATATTTGGACAACAGTGTTTAATGAATGAGGACAGGATCTGGGTTAATGAAACAGCCCCCTCTAGTGGTACAGGTGGGGAACTACATCATTTAACTAGAGGAATTCCTTAAAGAAATGTGGTGGAAAAACCTTATGTTATTAGGGCATAAATGATCTTTGACAACATTGGGGACAGGAGCAAGTTTGGTATTTTCTTGTATAATATTTGCGCAAAAAATTGCAAATAGTTTAAAAATGTCGTTGAATAGCATCAAGGGTTTTACTGTTTGTGCTCGAGGCAAAGTATAGTGGACAATAAACCGTCTGTTTTTAACCGGTCTCTATATTTTTACTATAGTTTTACCTTCTGCTCCATGATGGTGACGACATCAGGCAAACCGCCGACAACTCTGCCACGATCTGAAGAGGAAGAGGAGGAAAAGGAGACAGAGGAGAGAGAGGAGGAAGAGGGGGAAGAGGAGACAGAGGAGGAAGAGGGTAAAGAGGAGACAGAGGAGGAAGAGAAGGAAGAGGAGGAAGAGGAGAGAGAGGAGGAAGAGGAGACAGAGGAGAGAGAGGAGGAAGAGGGGGAAGAGGAGAAAGAGGAGGAAGAGAGTAAAGAGGAGACAGAGGAGGAAGAGAAGGAAGAGGAGACAGAGGAGAGAGAGGAGGAAGAGGGGGAAGAGGAGACAGAGGAGGAAGAGGGTAAAGAGGAGACAGAGGAGGAAGAGGAGACAGAGGAGAGAGAGGAGGAAGGGGGGGAAGAGGAGGAAGAGGAGGAAGAGGAGAAAGAGGAGGAAGAGGAGAAAGAGGAGGAAGAGGAGGAAGAGGAGAAAGAGGAGAAAGAGGATGAAGAGGAGGAAGAGGGAGAAGAGGAGGAAGAGGGAGAAGAGGAGGAAGAGGAGGAAGAGGAGAAAGAGGAGGAAGAGGATGAAGAGGAGAAAGAGGAGGAAGAGGATGAAGAGGAGAAAGAGGAGAAAGAGGAGGAAGAGGGGAAAGAGGGGAAAGAGGAGGAAGAAGAGGAAGAGGAGAAATAGGAGAAAGAGGAGGAAGAGGAGGAAGAGGGGAAAGAGGAGAAAGAGGAGGAAGAGGAGAAAGAGGGGAAAGAGGAGAAAGAGGAGGAAGAGGAGGAAGAGGGGAAAGAGGAGGAAGAGGAGGAAGAGGAGAAATAGGAAGAAGAAGAGAAAGAGGAGAAAGAGGAGGAACAGGAGGAAGAGGGGAAAGAGGAGGAAGAGGAGAAATAGGAGGAAGAAGAGGAAGAGGAGAAAGAGGAGAAAGAGGCGAAAGAGGAGGAAGAGGATGAAGAGGGGAAAGAGGAGGAAGAAGAGGAAGAGGAGAAAGAGGAGGAAGAGGAGGAAGAGGGGAAAGAGGAGAAAGAGGAGAAAGAGGAGGAAGAGGAGGAAGAGGAGGAAGAGGGGAAAGAGGAGAAAGAGGAGGAAGAGGGTAAAGAGGAGGAAGAGGAGAACGAGGAGAAAGAGGAGGAAGAGGAGAAATAGGAAGAAGAAGAGAAAGAGGAGAAAGAGGAGGAACAGGAGGAAGAGGGGAAAGAGGAGGAAGAGGAGAAATAGGAGGAAGAAGAGGAAGAGGGGAAAGAGAAGAAAGAGGCGAAAGAGGAGGAAGAGGATGAAGAGGGGAAAGAGGAGGAAGAAGAGGAAGAGGAGAAAGAGGAGGAAGAGGAGGAAGAGGGGAAAGAGGAGAAAGAGGAGAAAGAGGAGGAAGAGGAGGAAGAGGAGGAAGAGGGGAAAGAGGAGAAAGAGGAGGAAGAGGAGAAAGAGGAGAAAGAGGAGAAAGGGAATGAAGAGGGGAAAGAGGAGAAAGAGGAGGAAGAGGAGAAAGAGGAGAAAGGGGATGAAGAGGGGAAAGAGGAGGAAGAAGAGGAAGAGGGGAAAGAGGAGAAAGAGGATGAAGAGGATGAAGAGGGGAAAGAGGAGGAAGAGGAGAAAGAGGATGAAGAGGGGAAAGAGGAGAAAGAGGAGGAAGAGGAGAAAGAGGAGAAAGGGGATGAAGAGGGGAAAGAGGAGGAAGAAGAGGAAGAGGGGAAAGAGGAGAAAGAGGATGAAGAGGATGAAGAGGGGAAAGAGGAGGAAGAGGAGAAAGAGGATGAAGAGGAGGAAGAGGGGAAAGAGGAGGAAGAGGAGAAAGAGGAGAAAGAGGAGAAAGAGGAGAAAGGGAATGAAGAGGGGAAAGAGGAGAAAGAGGAGGAAGAGGAGAAAGAGGAGAAAGGGGATGAAGAGGGGAAAGAGGAGGAAGAAGAGGAAGAGGGGAAAGAGGATGAAGAGGATGAAGAGGGGAAAGAGGAGGAAGAGGAGAAAGAGGATGAAGAGGGGAAAGAGGAGAAAGAGGAGGAAGAGGGGAAAGAGGAGAAAGAGGATGAAGAGGATGAAGAGGAGAAAGAGGAGGAAGAGGAGGAAGAGGAGAAAGAGGATGAAGAGGGGAAAGAGGAGAAAGAGGAGGAAGAGGAGGAAGAGGAGGAGGAGGGGAAAGAGGGGAAAGAGGAGAAAGAGGAGGAAGAGGAGGAAGAGGAGGAAGAGGAGAAAGAGGAGAAAGAGGATGAAGAGGAGAAAGAGGATGAAGAGGAGAAAGAGGATGAAGAGGAGAAAGAGGAGGAAGAGGAGGAAGAGGAGAAAGAGGGGAAAGAGGATGAAGAGGAGAAAGAGGAGGAAGAGGAGAAAGAGGATGAAGAGGATGAAGAGGAGGAAGGATGTAGATGTCAGACCATATTTAGACATATAAAGGCTTCCCCCTCTGGTCCTGTGTTTTTGCTGAAATGACATTTTCCCGGAAAAGGTGTTGACCCGGGACAGCAGTGGGAAAGGTTGGCGAGGTTTTCAGACCTGCGTCAACTTTTCACCACGACGACATACTGTCCCGTGTTTGATTTGTATGTCAAGTGAAGTAGGCTATAAAACTACACTACACACAAGTAAGCTTTAAATCTGGCTCTTGGTGGGTTCACACTGACACGTCTCAATAATGGTAGATCACAAGGCGGGTTAAATGGCGAGCCGTTTAGACATATCAACCCGTGTCTCTCAGCCCGTCTTTTCTTTTGATTTTTTACAACAAGTGTGTGTGGTAGTGAGTGTGTGAGGTAGTATGTGATGTAGGAGACAGAGATACTCACTTTTCTCCGCGAATGCAGCCGCCCTACACGACAAAAACGCACGTTAGCGTCGTTCAATCATAAATATAAGTCTAAAATCACTAATAATCACTCAAATCAATCAAAACTCACTTGAGCCTGAGGTACTCTTCGTAGGCGTCAGTGTAGGCTGTGGAAGAGACAGAGTTTCAGTTTGAATTCATTGGATAAAAACAGTTACACAAATGCCGATATTGGCGATTAACACTCAGAGCTGTTAATCTAATCCTCACTCACTCAGAGGGTAAGATAAAATAAACTTTATTGATCTCACAATTACAAAATAACATGAGGGTAGAGCGCGTACGCATTCCCCACGACCACTAAATATGCAGTCAAGATTTCTACATGTGAGGAATTTGTTCGGGACAGTTGGTTTTTAATGCAACACACACACACGCACGCACGCACGCACGCACACACGCACGCACGCACGCACACACGCACACACACACACACACACAGAGACGGCTAGTGTGAATGAGTGAATGTATGAGTGTGTTTGGGTTGGGTGAGGGGTGTACACTAAAAAATAAAAAATAAAAAATAAATATATTGATTGGAATCTTTTCTGTATAATGTATTTCGTGACTTTATTCCTTGCTTGATGTTTCCATGTAAAGTTTTTTGTTCCCTTTCTCTTTTAAAAACAACATTTAGAACTACTTTCTCCTAAGGCTTCTAAACTTGACTGATGTATGATGGAAAATGTACAAAAAGGAGCTTGTTTTTATGGAATTTTCCAAAGATAATCCTTCCCTAAAGTTTAATTTTGACTCATGCGTGTTTGAGTCCTGTAGTGTCCTGTACTCGAAGCTTCAGGTCAGAACGTGTAACCCACAAACTATCCCCACCCTTCTCTCTGCACTTGTAATTCAGTGTAAAACAATGTTACCAGATCATTTTTCAACATTGTTTCATGGTTTTGGCCAAAATTTCAAGTTAGAAATGCAGAAATATCACAACAAATGTCCCCTTATGTTTTGTTTGTGGTTGTTTGAAGCCAAAACATTGTCATATAAACATGTTTTCAATGTTCACAGTGTAGATAGGAGATCCTAGATGTGCAGTTCATGCAAGGCGGTCCAGGAATTCACAGGAAATGTAGGCTTTTTGCCAAGAAGAATGTGCAGCTTTAGCATCAGAGAGTAGAAAGAACCTCATCCAAAACTACCACAAAAGACTCCAACGCTGTGAGAGATGTACTGTACAGTAGGGACATTTCAGGGTTGTATCACCGGTTATACTAAAATAAAATATAATGAAGAAGCAAGAAGCCAGTACGAAACTTTAAGAACAAAATAAATAATAATTTTAAAATAAAAAATATGTTTATTTGACATAGAAAGAAATGGCCTCTCTCAACCACAAACCACTTTAATTCGTAATCTTCAGATTTGGCTCTAACTGTAAAAATCTAAACATTCAACTGTAAAATCTGTAAAATGGTGAATATACGGTATATCAAGTGTGTGTATCTGTGTGTGTGTGTGTGTCTGTGTGTGTGTCTGTATGTTTGTCGATATGTGTGTCTGTATGTGTGTCTGTGTGTGTATCTGTGTGTATATGTGTGTGCGTGTGTCTGTATGTGTGTGTGTCTATATGTCTGTGTGTTTGTCTGTGTGTTTGTCTGTTTCTGTATGTGTTTGTCTGTATGTGTGTCGGTATGTGTGTCTGTATGTGTGTCTGTGTGTGTGTCTGTATGTGTGTCTGTGTGTGTGTCTGTATGTCTGTGTGTGTGTCTGTATGTGTTTGTCTGTATGTTTGTCTGTATGTGTGTCTGTGTGTGTCTGTATGTCTGTATGTCTGTGCGTGTGTCTGTATGTTTGTCTGTATGTGTGTCTGTGTGTGTATCTGTGTGTATATGTGTGTGTGTGTGTCTGTATGTGTGTGTGTCTATATGTCTGTGTGTTTGTCTGTGTCTGTATGTGTGTCGGTATGTGTGTCTGTATGTGTGTCTGTGTGTGTGTCTGTATGTGTGTGTCTGTATGTCTGTGTGTGTGTCTGTATGTCTGTGTGTGTGTCTGTATGTCTGTGTGTGTGTATCTATATGTCTGTGTGTGTGTCTGTATGTGTGTGTCTATATGTCTGTGTGTGTGTCTGTATGTTTGTCTGTATGTGTGTGTCTGTATGTGTGTCGGTATGTGTGTCTGTATGTGTGTCTGTGTGTGTGTCTGTATGTGTGTGTCTGTATGTCTGTGTGTGTGTCTGTATGTCTGTGTGTGTGTATCTATATGTCTGTGTGTGTGTCTGTATGTGTGTGTCTATATGTCTGTGTGTGTGTCTGTATGTTTGTCTGTATGTGTGTGTCTGTATGTGTGTGTCTGTATGTGTTTGTCTGTATGTTTGTCTGTATGTTTGTCTCTATGTGTGTCTCTATGTGTGTCTGTGTGTGTCTGTATGTTTGTCGGTATGTGTGTGTGTGTGTGTGTGTGTGTGTGTGTGTACCTTGTCCGGAGAGGTCGAAGCTGCGAGCGTGTGTGTGGACGCCGTCGCAGATCTCGATGGTGTACTGTCCCTTCTCTTTGTCGGACGGGTCACAGATCTGCATCCAGGCCATCTCCGCCGTGCCCCCGATCCTCATCTTCTCCGACGACGCGATCTTACTGTCCCTGAGACAACGCAAGCAGCAGAACAAACAGTCAGCTCAACTTCACATTTATTACTGCAAAAAGTCATGAAAAATTGGTCAAAAATGGCTTGAATTTGGCAAAATGTGTCTTAATTTGAGCACATTCTATCTGCCGTGAAACAAGATTTGCGAATGGGACAAAGTAAAATGACATTGTTTTATGGTTGAGACTCACTGCTTCTCCACTGCAAGGCTGCCAACCAAAAAGTGGATCAATAAATAAAAAAATTAAAAAGATACATAAATAAATGAAGAAAGAAAAAAAGAAAAAACCTCAGGGACTTGTATGCGTTTTATTTTAATAATGATAATTTTTTTTTAAAGATATCTTGTTTAAACACAGTCAAAATGGGCTCAAATTAGTATAAAACCCACTCGATTCAAGAAATTACTAACTCATATTTGATTATTTTGTTTTAAGTACAAGTAAGTAAGTAATCTTTTTGTATATAGCGCCTTTCTGTAGTCACACAACACTTTACTCTCGTTGTGGGCTTTTGTCTCTCACTCCACACAGAGACCCCACCCCCTCCCAGGTAGCTCCCCAACGCATTTAGAAAGTAAAAAATGTAATCATGTTCTGAGTGTTTATATTCTTTTATACTCTTGCTCACTACTTTTGTAAATTCAAACTAACTGTGTGCACTAATAACAAATAAATGAGGATAAACCACCAAATATATCAATTCATTTTTCCCAGGACGGGGTAAAGAAGCAGTAGAAGTAGCTCTCTGGGGGAAAAGGTTGGAGCCCCTGGTGTAGGAGGTGCATGCCAGACCTTTTATTGGACCTGGAGCACCTGGAGAAAACCTACACAGACACGGGGAGAACATGAAAATGCCACACAGAAAGGCCAGAAGGTGGAATTGAACCCAGGACCTTCTTGCATTACACACAAGAGTCTCAATGTGTCTCCCATAGAGGACAGAGCGCTTGTGCCTCACAGCAAGAAGGTCCTGGGTTCAATTCCACCTTCTGGCCTTTCGGTGTAGAGTTTGCATGTTCTCCCTGTGTCTGTGTAGGTTTTCTTTGGGTTCAGTTCAAGATTTGAGGAACTGATTGAGTTTACATTGAGTTTTATGCAACATTTTTCTGGATAGTCCACAAGAATTTAGTCTTCAGTACCGTGGGCGCCCCCTATGGTCATTGGTGGGATTGCTGTAAGCTAGTAACACCCTATCCAGATGTTATTACAGATCCATGATGAACACTGACTTGTGTTTCCAGACGGTTTTCATCTCTTCAGTGTAGTATTTCATGTAGCACTGGAGCCGGATGCCTTCAGGAGTGCACTGCATCACCAGGTCAGAGGCGGACGCACCTGCACCACACACACACCATCAACACCATCACCATATACACATGGTTCTATGACATCTATGACATCACAGATATTTAACACACATTGTTACAGTCATCGTTTACGCACATTGGTCCTACTATTATCTGATTGATGTAGGTTTTCACATTATTTAACATTTTTGTCTTAACGTGTGTGTTTCTTGGGTTCAGTTCTGGTTAAAACAGTATTATAACAAGTACGGTGATTAACACTAACTGCTAATATTCAGAAATATTTTTATAAGAATTTTAAATGTGCTTCATAACTTAGACCTAGACAGACTTTATTGATACACAAGGGAAATTGCGTTGTCACAGTAGCTTGCATAGTATTTCACAATAAAAAAAAGAAAAAAAAAAAAAAGGTTAAAGTAACAATCTAAAAATTATAATAATAATGAGATAATATTGTGAGAATAGAATTATCCGGATAGAAGTACTCAGGAATATACATATCTGTGAATACGTACACATACAGTATACAGTACACAATACAGAGAAATAACAGTTAATGTCCTAATGATTTATTTATTCAGAGAAATGGTTTGTAAATGTTGTTTTTATATGTTTAATAACGTTTTTTACAGTGGTTCCTTGTTTATGGCGAAGGACACGTTCTAAAAAATAATCGATTCGTGAAATCCTTTAAGTAGCAGCAATGGTTTTAAGGCTGGAAAGGCTGTCACTGCTGCTTTAGACCTAGTTTTATCATCAATATTAGTCATTTAACAATATGGTAGGGGGCTGAAAAATGGCTGCCGGTAACTATAGTAACAGTCAAAATGGTGGTGTAGCTAATCTCTGTGTAATCCCGGAGTTAAGGTGGTATTGCACTTACCAGCGACCTTAGCGATGGCATTGATGATGTCGTCGAAAACTGAAAAACAAAAAAATATTACGTGATCACATATTTTTAAGCCAGTTTTTGAATTTCCACACTGCAAAAAATAATAAAATATGAGGTAATAAATGCTTGAATCGAGCGGTTTTTATCTCAATTTAGTTTCCTTCTGACTGTGTGAAAAGAATGGGACGAAGCTATTTAGTCTTTTCTCATTTCTACATGGAACAAATACTTAAGCAGATGTTCCGGTAAACGTGACAGGCGGCGTGTTGGTTCCTGTCGCTGTATCTCGGCCAAGAATCTCGCCGTACTCGCCTATTCATGCATGTTATTTTTTAGCTTAATCTTTTACCCACCAGAACAACTCATTCTGGCAAAGAGGAGGCAGTGGGAGGAGACGGGAGCTCACGGGGAAACGGAGGGACCGGGAATTAATGAGTGAATGAATTGATTTTTTTTATTCTGAAGGCACATTTTTACTCTCTGGCGTTTAACAGAGCATGAGTTGTGTGGTCCTCTGTTTTATTTATTTTATTATTTTTTATTTATTTTATTATTATTTTATTATTATTATTATTATTATCATTATTATCATTTTATTATTATTATTATTATCATTATCATTATCATTATTATTATTATTATTTTTATAGATAACTGGTATTTTGTTTAGTTTTTTATTTTTTGTTTTTATTAGATTTTGTTTGGTTTTATTTCATACATGATCATTTTTTACTTATTCTATTGTATATATTTATATTTATGCATGTTTATAGCTTCTGTCCCATGTTTAGATCAGCTTTTTCAGACAGAAAAGTGAAAAGGGGAGGACCAGCTTCAATCAGCCAATCAGCTCTCAGCTCAAAGTGTCACATGTCTCTTTATCATAAGTATGCTAAAAAAAAAAAACAGCATTTTTTGGTCTGATTTGTTCACAAAATCTTTTTATAAGATTCTTCATGTTGTGGGTAACAAAGTGTATTATTTATGAAGAAAAGAAAGATAGGTACCCCAGCTTTAAAATATATGTTGGTAGATCTTGAAAACCATTTTGTATAACAGTCTAACTCAGGGGTCTCCAACCTGTAGCTCAAGAGACACCAGTAGCTTGCTGTCCCCGATATCAGCCTCGTTCGCACCAATATATCACCATTTTTGTTCCCAGAGCCGCTTAAAGGAGTAGCTCTCTAACTCCATTGTCCCGGGAAAGTAGCTCTCTGGGTGAAGACGGTTGGAGACACCTGGTCTGAATGTTATGTGTGAGGAAAAAGGAAGCAGCAGATTCTAACCTTGTCCGGAGATGTCGATCACGGACGTGTCTTTGCTTCTGTCGTCTCCCAGAACTGCTTTGTACACTCCCTGGTCTTTCCTGGAGAACTGAAAACCAGCAGAAATAGGATTAAAATAGTAAAAAAAATACATATATATGAGTATTAAAGTGGTGGGAGTCTCACGTTGGGAACAGGCAGAGCACAGGCCCCAGACGCCACGTTGGCTGGAGTCTCCGGAACAATCTCATCGTCCTCTTTGTACCAGTGGAACGAGGTCTCCTTCTTCACGTTAGCGACCTGAAAACACAGACCGAGACGAACTTGACACGGACTTGACACGGACTCAATACAGACTTAACACGGACTCGATAGAGACTCGACACAGACGAGATACAGACTCGACACAGACAAGATACAGACTTGACACGGACTTAACACGGACTCGACACAGACAAGATACAGACTTAACAAGGACTTGATACAGACTTAACACGGACTCGATACAGACTTAACACGGACTCAATACAGACTTAACACGGACTTGACACGGACTAAACACAGACGTGAGATATAGACTTGACACAGACTCGACACTGACGAGATACAGACTCGACACAGACAAGATACAGACTTAACAAGGACTTGATACAGACTTAACACGGACTTGATACAGACTTAACACGGACTCGATACAAACTTAACACGGACTCGACACGGACTAAACACAGACGTGAGATATAGACTCGACACGGACTCGACACTGACGAGATACAGACTCGACACAAACGAGATACAGACTCGACACGGACTCGACACAGACGAGATACAGACTTGACACAGACTCGACACGGACTCGACACAGACGAGATACAGACTCGACACAGACGAGATACAGACTCGACACGGACTCGACACAAAGGAGATACAGACTTGACACAGACGGGACACGGACTCGACACAGACGAGATACAGACTTGACACAGACTTGACACGGACTCGACACAGACGAGATACAGACTCGACACAAACGAGATACAGACTCAACACAGACGAGATAGAGACTTGACACAGACTCGACACGGACTCCACACAGACGAGATACAGACGAGATACAGACTCGACACAAACGAGATACAGACTCGACACGGACTCGACACAGACGAGATACAGACTTGACACAGACTTGACACAGACGAGATACAGACTCGACACAAACGAGATACAGACTTGACACGGACTCGACACAGACGAGATACAGACTTGACACGGACTCGACACGGACTCGACACAGACGAGATACAGACGAGATACAGACTCGACACAAACGAGATACAGACTCGACACGGACTCGACACAGGCGAGATACAGACGAGATACAGACTCGACACGGACTCGACACAGAGTACAGGTCTGTACCTTGCAGGCCAGTAGAACAGTGCAGTCTTCGCTGACAGTGAAGTAAAGATACTCAGAAAAGTGTGGACCTAGAAAACAAACATTTTTCAGATTTACAAAACACTGTATGTGCCGCTTTCTTAACCACAAAATGTCATAATTATCAGTTAGCTGCAAGAATCCATGGACAATAAGATTTGATACATTTAATTTGCATAATAATAATATTAGTAATATCCAGGAAAAACTGACCATATAAAGCAATTATTATTATTTTATTTAACCTTTATTTAACCAGGAAAGTCCCATTGAGATTAAGAACCTCTATTTTCTAAAGTTACATACAGTTTCACACAAATACAGATTATAGAATTACGGATTTTAAAAACAGTTACATTTCAATGAGGCTGTCTCAAGTGTTCTCAATCTGGATCGAAAAATACAATGAGGAAATCGGCCACTTCGACCACCATTCACAATTCATCCAACCATTCACAATTAATGTACCCACAGTTGAGCGACTCCACCTGCGTCACAAGAACAGTAGTAGTTGCTCAGTTGGTAGAGCATTGGCCTTTGAGCCTGAAGGTTGTGGGTTCGAGCCCACCTCAAGACACCTCACTGACTTCCACTGATGTCTGCTGTTGTTGTTGCAAGACGTTTTTGAGTGTCCAAAAAAAGCGATGTATAAAAGTAGTAGTAACTAAACTGTACCTCACTGCGGTAGTCTTGCATAGTTTTTCCAATGTGGTTTTACTGCAAATGGCAAATAAATTCTTGTATCTACAGCTGCAGAGACGTACCTTGCTTCCTGATGTGCTCCTTCCTCTGAAACTCCGCTTCCTTCAGAGCAGCTTTGAACACTGTAAAACATAAAAATCAGATGTTGTTCTAAATCACAGTGTAAAATAAGATAATCTGTAGCAACCACATAATCAGAGTCAAAATAAATTAGAATAATAAATAGCGGGTGGGAGTTTAAAAGTTTCTTCCCACTCCTTTTCGAGCTGACCTTTTGATAATAACACAAAACATACTGTATATGTATTGTGTGTGTGTTTTTTGTTGTTGTATATATTTTGTTGTTGTTGTTCTATGTTCTCATCTGCCATGGCTCGAAATAAAGTATTCCTTCGAAAAGTGTGTGTTCTCACCGTCTCCCACCAGCACCAGGGACGTCTGGGCCTTGGCTTTCCCGTCGTGGATCTGGACGGTGTAGGTTCCCTCGTTGGCTCTGGTGAAGTTCTCCACAGTCATCTGGATCACTCCGGTCGCGACGTCGTGGCTGATCTTATGGCCCTGAGGCAAAAGAGACAAATCATGTGTTATCTGAGGCACTATTTTAAAGCTCGGATTTGTAACTTCTTCTCCCTGTGTTGTATGTGTCAACAGAAAGTCTCTCTCTGGTCTCTCTTCCTGGTCAGCAGTAGTAGTAGTAGTAGTAGTAGCAGTAGTAGTAGTAGCAGTAGTAGTAGTGGTAAAGGTGACTTACTGTACTTACTTGCTAGTAGTAGAAGTAGTAGTAGCAGTAGTAGTAGTAAAGGTGACTTACTGTACTTACTTGCTAGCAGTAGTAGTAGTAGTAGCAGTAGTAGTAGTAGTAGTAGTAGCAGTAGTAGTAACAGTAGTAGTAAAGGTGACTTACTTGCTAGTAGTAGTAGCAGTAGTAGTAGTAGTAGCAGTAGTAGTACCAGTAGTGGTAGTAGTAGTAGTAGCAGTAGTAGTAGTAGCAGTAGTAGCAGTAGTAGTAGTAGTAGTAGCAGTCGCAGTATCAGTACCAGTAGTAGCAGTAGTAGTAGTAGAAGTAGTAGTAGTAGTAGTAGCAGTAGTAGTAGTAGCAGTAGTAGCAGTAGTAGTAGTAGTAGTAGCAGTCGCAGTATCAGTACCAGTAGTAGCAGTAGTAGTAGTAGCAGTAGCAGTATCAGTACCAGTAGTAGTAGCAGTAGTAGTAGTAGTCTCTCTCTCACCTCTCCGCTGGTCACTTCTTTGTCGTTGACGATGAACCTGTAGGAAACGGCTGAGGACAGTTTCGTGGCCTGCAGCCAGAAGCGAACGTGTCCTTTCTCCAGGATCTCGTAGTTCAGGCCGTGCTTCAGAGGAATCACTGCAAACAAAACACATCAGTAATATTTTTAACCCAGAATTATTATTATTATTTTACCCCAAAGTGGCTGTCTGCTCTCACCTGGATGTCTGATGGCATAACTGAGCTCCAGCATGGTGTTCATGGCTGAGGGAGAGAAACAGGGGGAAAGTTTTTAGATTGTGGAAAACCAGTCCCAGTCTCTGGTCTCTCTCTCTTTCTGGTCTTTCTCCGGTCTCCTTTTCTCTGGTCTCTCGCTCTGGCCTTTCTCTCTAGTCTCTCTCATGCTGGTCTTTCTCATGCTGATCTCTCTGGGTAAATCCAGACACCCTCTGCATGACACTATGGCCGCTCAGAGGAGTAACCGTAGCAACAGGCTCCTATCACTACGCTGCAGAACGGAAAGTTTCAAGCGATCGTTTGTTCCTTCGGCTGTCAGACTGTACAACAAACCTGGATGAGTCTTCTGCTGCTGGACTCCTGAATTTCTCCTCCGGGGATCAATAAAGCCTGACTCTCGTCAGACCCTTGTAGTTCCGCCATGCTCCACCAGAGGCATTTTGCTGAACACAAGGGTCTGGGATCGACCGCGTCTCTCAGTCAAATCAAACCAAGATGGCGGACATAAAGTCCATGAATAAAAAAAAAAGCTAAAATACGAACGAGTTAAGACACGGATGTCACTTTTGATGCAATTTGAGGCGAGATGTTGATGGTTTTATGTCGTTATATGTGTGTTTTAAGGCTCGTAGGTAATAATGGACAGAAAGACAAAAAACAGAATCATGACAGCCCAAGTTGGTTGCATTACGTTTTTAGCCCAAAAAATAATCAGGATGTTTTTTTCTGGGGAATTCACTTGGGGTTTGGGCTGGAAAATCTTGCCGGCATTTGGCAACCCTACAACACAGTGTACTGAAGAGTGTGCTTCGATGTGAGTGGTTGAAGGAACACGTTATTCAAGATAACAGACAAGTGGCTTATCCAATCACATACAAGGATTTTTTTTCACAAGGCCCCGCCTTCTGAAATTCATCTGCTATGAAAGAGACCCAGACCCCTGTGTGAAGCTACAATAAACTATCTATCTCTCTCTTCCTTACAATGCAAGGAATAGAACCACAATGATCCCACGTACCGTCCTCGGTGAGGGTGTGGCTGCCGGAGACTCCGTCCGTATCCGTGACGACCACAGAGTATCTGCCCAAGTCGTCTTTGTCTGGGTTTGTGAAGGTGAGTCTAGAGCTGGAGCCGGAAAACAAAAAGAGAACTGAACGTACAGTTGGAATAAATATGTTTTGAAGATTTGGATTATTCAAAAATAAATTATCCAAGATTTTTATCAAGACGATCCAAGCAAAAAGAGAAATCATGTTGACACTAAATGTGCACTTATTTCCATATTCCTGAATGTTGAGTTTGTTCCTGGTCTGGTTTAGGCTCTGAGATGGCAAAGCTCTTTTCTCTCATACATTATGGTTTATTAATCTAAAAGTTGGGTGAGTGTTTCTCTCTCTTACGTTCTTCCCTTGCAGCTCATGGACACACGGGGACACTCTCCCACAGGGCTGTAGTTCTTGGACCAGACAAACTTGGACGTTTCGCTGATTTCACAGGCTTCAAGAGACAGATAGATGTCTCCGGTCTCCCCGTCCACTCCGGCCTCGATCTCTTGAGTGCCTGCAGCAATGGGACAAAACCATGTGATTTAGACACAAAATATAGATAAGATAAAACTTGAATGATCTCGCAATGGGGACATTTACAACAAAACAATAAACTAGATGTAAAATAGATAGACAGGAACCCTAAAAGTTTAACCACACTAGCTGCCCAAAGTGCTTCAAACCAGCACTGTTGGCTTTGGAGAGCAGTTTCAGTGATAGACTTATTCACCCTCGCTGTGTGAAGGAGAGGTTCCGCAGGAGTTTCCTTCCTGCAGCTGTCAGACTGTACAATGAGAACTGCTGAGCCTGTAAATACGTAAATACTCCAATCATGTGCAATGTGCAATCCTGCAACTTCAGAATGTCACTGAACGATGTCACTTTATCTACTTATCACCCTGCCCTATATGTGCAGTATATAACCACATATTTTGAAAGACTTTTGAAGCTTTTACAGCTAGTTAAGAAAGATAGCTACTACTTATTTTGTATATTTTGCCTGCTCCCTGTGTGCTCTTGCTACTGTCCTGTATGTGCATTGACATGACATTGGCATGGTATCCTGCATATACTGCCATATTGATTCAAACTGGTCTCTTTGATCGGTCTTGGATCGGTCTTGGATTGGTCTATAATTGTCCGTGTGTTTTTGAATGTGTTTGTACCTGGCAGAGCCTTGGCACACACCGGCTCGGACACCAGAGAAGCTTTCCCGATCCCACTCTCGTTTACGGCACGGACTTTAAACACATACGACTCGCCCTCCGTCAGGCCGGACACCTGCGGACACAAGGACAAACATGTGACATCAGTTAGACATAAAGAGATTACATACATGTTCTGAACCGTGTATGAACAAACCGTGTCAAATATGTGTCTTTCTTTGAGGACAAATCTAAATATTGTTCTTTACTCACACTGTATAATTCTAAGGAGACAATAATTTCTCTTTTGTTTTGTTGATGTCTTTTTGTGACTTAAAAGCAAACATACAGTAGTTTAACCATATTCCCACAGACCTGGAAGTACCGGTGGCTGACTACTTCCTCGCTCAGAGCCTTGAAATCCTTGGATCCCTTTTTGGCCATTTCCACGATGTATCCGGAGACTGCGCTGGCCCCGGTGTAAACGGGGGCCTTCCACAGCAGGACCAGGGAGTGGCCCCGCACCTCGCTGAAGCCCAGGTCGTAGGCCGGTCCTGGACACATCAGCAGAACATGAATTATTACTGGTTTTATTTACATTTTTCACTTGATTTTTAACATTATCCTCTTATTTGCAAACCTGGCGCCCCTCTTCTACTCTCACGTCTTTAGTTATGCAATATTTGTCATTTCTGCTTTTTATGCTTATGCTATTTCTAAACTTTTTTGCATTGTGTGTTATGATCTTATCGCTGTAATGTATTGTTTAATATTGCAGACACACACAAAAGAAGAAATCACGTGCTTCTTGCAAATTCTCGTTTCCCAAATATATATTATCGTCTTCTGTAGAGGGATTGATTCAAATTGAAACCAATCAAATCAATAATATTCAATACCATAATAACTATAATACAGTGAGTTTTGTACCGTATATGTCTCCAATTATGAGTGGTAACAATCAGAATGGCGAGAAATGTGTGAAGCTGGTGTATAGGATCATCTGAAAGATACTTTTACCTAAAAAATTGATTTAGGAATTATCTCACGGAAATGTAAATGAATCAAATTATTGCTGTATTTTTAGGCTATTTTTGTTTCTTTTTCGCAGGCCTGGCAGCTCAACAGTTCTCTCCCCTCTTTTCATAGTTTATATTTATTCCCTGTTTTATTTTGAAATGTGTTAAGCCCTGAGTCCTCTTTAGTGGTACTTCCTGTTTCCTGATCACCTGCCCTCATGTGTATCACCGGTGTCTCCTTAGTCTTGTATTAATGCAATCGTCAATGGCATTTCTCTTTTCATTCTTGTCCCTTTTTGGTCACTTTGTGTTGTCTACTTTGGATTTTTTTTTACTGTTATTAAATCTATGACTATTTGCCGTTGCTTGTTGGGTTCTGTTCTGTTTGCCACATGACGCCCCTGGTCTTACACACGTGTCCCTTTGTTGCTGTGAGGTTCATGTGTTATACTGATGGAGAGTGTACCGGGGGTATCCATGGTCCAGGCCTCACACTTCAGGGGGGCGCTGGGGGCAGACGGGACGCCCACTCCGGCCAGGTTCGCAGCGGTGATTTTAAACTCGTAAAAAGTGCCTTCAGTCAAGTTCTCCACCTGCAAAAGATGAAGAAAACATTGAACCAAGTAAACGGCGCTCATTCATAGCTCTATAAATCCTATGGGGAAGTGCTCATGGGCGAGGTTTAGGCCCTATTCATTACATTGACGAGTAAACTCTCACTTGTGTATCTGTTTGTTTAGTAATTCACAAAGCCGCCATATTATTCTCGAGTCTGAATGTCCTTCCTACTGTCTAACATCATACATATGTTTTTGAATATTGTCACCACTTCTAGATACTTTAATGAGGAAATAATTAGACAGAAGCTGATAAACAACATGTGGAACTTTGTGACTGTTCATGCTTCATTGTTACAGAGAAATTACCTTAAAAACCAAGACGAGAAACAAGTCAAAAGTGTGCTAGAAAAAAAATCAAGACTTTAGTTTAGTTTAGATCTGAGATTTAGATCTGATTTTTACAATGCTTTGATGCCACATGAATGCAACCTATCCTCCACCGCTCCTGATTGGCTCTTTGGTTGCTATGTCGTTGCTATCTGAATATTTCGCTCCAGATTCTTTCCAATGGAGCCTATTTGGAGTAATTAGCTTAAAAACCAAGACTTTTGCCACTTCCCATAGTCAGTTGGTTAGATTTTCCACTTCCTTCCACAATGTTAAACTATAGGCTCTTTGTAATGCTGTATGGTCACAGTGAGAACAGACCAGGAGATCAGACCGCTCCTGATTGGCTCGTTGGTTGCTAGGTGGTTGCTATTTGAATATTTAGCTCCAGATTTAGATTCCTGCCCATAGAGCCCGTTCCGGTTACAACTAAACTCTACGCTCTATGGTCCTAACATTACACATTGGGATACAACCGGTTGGTTTTGGATCCCTCTTCTGTCTCTCTCTCAGTGATCTTCTGCATGTATGCATTTTTTTATCTGAGAAATATAGCTCTAAACTAACACAAGACATCTTACATTTTCCACCTCTCATAGTTAATTACTTCCTTCCACAATGTTAAACTATAGGCTCTTTTTGAATGCATCCACTTCTGATTGGTTCTTTGGTTGCTAGGTCGTTGCTATCTGAGTATTTGGCTCCAGATTCCTGCCCATGGAGCCGGTTTAAGCTAGATCTAATCGACTTCTTCAGAGAAAGGACAAACTCCATGGTCTGTGGTCCCAGTATAGTATGTTTGGGTCCTTCCTGGTTGGTTTTGGATCCGTCTTCTGTCTCTCTGAAGCTGAACTCTGACCTTGCACAGTCTCTCGGTGACGGCCTGCAGGTTGACCTCCTTCCAGGCCAGAGTGTCTGCGTTCCTCTTGTCCAGGTAGTAAGCGTTGACCTTGGATCCACCGCAGTGTTTGGGACTGTTCCAGGCCAGAGTCATGGACGCGCCGTCGCAACTCAACATGGTGATCCCGAACGGGGCACTAGGGGTCGCTGTGGAGACCAGGTAGAGCCATCAACAAACGGATTTTCATTTGGATTTAAGTGAAGACGAGAATACACAGACATAGGGAGGTGGGTTGTGATTGGATTTGTGCAAAAACTCAAGGTGAAAAGTGGAAAAATGTGTCTCAAATGGTGCAAAGGTAGTTTGGTTTTAGCTAATTCTAAGTTAATTATTTTGATTTGGTAGGCGCCTATGCATTTATTTGGAATAAACAATTTGAATTAATTACCTTAAACATGAAAGAACTGCCTATGGATCAATCTTTCTTCAAGCCTAAATATGTTATTGATCAAAAACACATTTTACAATGACTGCAAACACCTATCTGTCAAACTCCCCTCTTTTTGACTGGAGATTACCGGAGAACGAAACAAGCTAAAAACAAACTTATTTGTGCTGATGAAAGTAGACAATCCAGCCTTTCAGAATTGGGTTTCATATTTACATAAATGTAGTCTACAAGATTCTGTGGGTCTTGAAATTCAGTGAAAGCATCAAAAACAGCTGCAATGGATCACTTTTTGAGTCACTTTTTCTACTTGAAGCTTGGAACTTAAATCTACGTACCTCATTGGGGCATTTCTAGCACTTGGTTTTAGACACTTTTACCATCAAACTGCAGCTCACCCTTTTTGTAGAGGTCTATAATTCATAAACTAGGAGGTTAAAAGAGAATAAATACAAAAAATAAAAACTTATTAGTGCTCCTACATCTTAGACAAAGAGGAGTGAACATTAAAAAGTGAAAATCTATCAGTGAGAAAAGTGCCACAAGTGTCAGGGGGAGAAACAGTGAGAGGGGATAGAGCTGTTTAAACATTTCGAACATACCGTACTCAACACCTCTGCCTGGACCAAACGACAGACACAAAGGGAAATGTTATTGTCTATTCATACATTCTATCTAGAGCTAACTGCAAGATTCAATCAAGTATATTTATTGTACATTTACCCCCAAATAAATGAGAACATATTTTCATTTTTGAAGGCGATGTCTGCAACTTTACTTGAGTAGTATTTTGTTATTGAAAATGATACATATTTTTTCGACAATATTAACTTGTAGTATCATCTAAATTAGGGGGTGTCCAATCTTTAGTTCACCGAATACTGTTTGGACTGGATTTGGGCTGTTTTTGGACCACAGCTCCTTTAAAGCTGAGGTGTGTAATTTCTTACCGTTCATAAAAATACATTGTGTCTGTCCAAGTAACACAGACAATTGTAATTCGTTTTGTTTCTCGGTCTTTGTTGCGCACATTGGGAGACTTTTGAGTTATGGCATACTGTATCTATTTTAACTACATCTTTTCATGAATGCAGGGATACTGTGCTGTACAGTGGAATATTTTACATGTGCGTTCTCCATGATTTGCTGGAGTTATTGTATAGACTACGATTGTATTACGACTGATAAAAGGATCAGCTCCTGGAGACCTAAAAATACATTTCATTAAAGCTGCAGGTGTAGGAGGTCTTGGACTCACAGAGGGCGGGCTCCACGGTGATGGGGCCGGACTCCTGGGACTCTTCGCTGAGACCAAAAACGTTCACGGCCTGAACACGGAACACGTACGTCTCTCCAGGAACCAGACCATGAACCACGAAGCTGAGGCCAACGAGACAGATTCAGGGTTTATTTGACATCTGCAGTAAAACCACATTGGAATGACTGTGCAAAAGTACCCCAGTGTGCAGAAAGAGACTAGAGAGAGACTAAAGAGACCCAGAGAGAGAGCAGAGAAAGACCGGAGAGAGACCAGCGACAGACCAGAAAGAGACCAGAGAGAGACCCGAAAAAGAGCAGAAAGAAACTAGAGAGAGACCAGAGACAGACCAGAGACAGACCAGAGACAGAGCTGAGAGACACCAGAGAGAGACCAAAGAGAGACCAGAAAGAGACCAGAGAGAGACCAGAGAGACCAGAGAGACCAGAGAGAGACCAGAGAGAGACCAGAGAGAGACCAGAGAGAGACCAGAGAGAGACCAGAGAGAGACCAGAGAGAGAGACCAGAGAGAGACCAGAGAGAGACCAGAGAGAGACCAGAGAGAGACCAGAGAGAGAGACCAGAGAGAGACCAGAGAGAGACCAGAGAGAGACCAGAGAGAGACCAGAGAGAGACCAGAGAGAGACCAGAGAGGTAGAATCAAGAAGAGGGAAACCTAAGAGACGAGAGGATTTCTTTTTTATTGATTTATGTGTTTTGTTTTTGATTTTGTCCAGGGTTTTTGTATTTGACTTTACAAAATAAAACTACCATTGATGATGTGGTATGATAAAAGCCATGAATTGTGCTGTTGTTCTACACCTATATATGAATGTGTGTGTGCGTGTGTGCGTGTGTGTGTGTGTGTGTGTGTGTGTGTGCACTTGTTTTCAACTCCTAGTGGGTTCCATAACCTGAGATTCCACTCACGTCATGGGGACTGGTTTTACGTGGTGGGGCCCGAACACCGGACCCCACTGGTCCAAGCTTAATAATCAATGGGTAATGCTTTTCTAACGGTCCTTATGCAGTCTCTGTAAAAATATGGAAAGGACCCCTGGAGGTTTACTTTCCTGAAAAAAGTGTGTTATGTGTCGGAACCCTGGTGGTGGGTTGCGGGATATCAAGGAGGGGCACACTGGGGCAATTTCAGTCCAGCAGGCTGGAGCCAATCATGGAGCAGCACAACAGAGGAAATCAGGTGTCAGGCTAGAAAAGGTGCAAGTGTGTGGTTCATTAGGCTGCAAGAAATCATGGAGGAGCACACTGAAGCGCACGCTTACAAACCACTGGTAAGTGCTGACTACAAGTCATGACTTCAAATTGTTATATAGAATTATTAAAAATTATTTGTTGTTTGTGCAGCTTAGTCAAGAGTCCCTAATTGATGAAGTCGACTCAGATTCTGACGATTTAACTGTCAAGAAGAAACCTGTAAAAAAGTATTGAAAAGAAAAATCAAAAACACTTTTCTTCAAGACTCGGAAAGTGAAGAACCAAAGGCAAATAAGATTGTTATCATGCAGCTGCAAAAGAAGGAAAATGGGGGGAGAGTTTACAGCAAGAGGCACTTCTGCCTCTACTGTTCAATGTCCTGCCACAAAATGTCCCGTCATTTGACTAGAAAACATGGAAATGAAAGTGACGTAGCCAGAGCATTGGCTCTACCTGTGAAATCTAAAGCATGTAAACTTCAGTTTGATTTGATCAGGAATAGTGGAAACCGTGAGCACAATTTTGAGGTTTTAAAGGCCGGCATTGGAACTTTAGTCCCAGCTAAACAGCCAAATTCCCCAGTTAAATCCAGTGAGTTTTTGCACTGTATAGACTGTGGGGCATTGCTTAAGCGAAAGTGGCTGTGGAGGCATGTGGCCAGGTGCCGGCTTTCACAGAAAGATGCCCAGGCTAAACCAGGCTAAACCAGGCTAAACCAGGTAGAAGTAGGGTCCAGTCCCTCTGCTCCCTAGCCCAGCCTGTACCGGAGGGCATCAGCAAAAAGCTGTGGTCTTTAATTTGGGCAATGCATCAGGATGAGGTCACGGGTGTTGTCAAAGCAGAAAAGGGGATTCTGAGACTCGGAGAGCACCTGTACTTAAAACACGGGCATGATAAGACTAAGCATGATTACATTAGGCAGAAAATGAGAGAAGTCGGTAGGTTAATTAACGAAGCAAAAACTGCAGGGAAACTGAAAACAATTAAGGATTTCTTTATTCCTTCCAACTTTAACCATGTGATTGATGCAGTCAGGTCTGTGGCTGGATATGATGAGGAAACAAATCAATACAAGACTCCATCCTTGGCCCTCAAACTCGGCCATAGCCTCAGAAAGCAGATATTCTTGAATGTGACTCAAAAATGGAGCATTGTGTTGATGAACTATTTATTAAAAACCTCCAACTAAGCCGGCTGCTTTTTGAGAAGAGGTGGGACGTCTGTGTTTCTTCTGCTGCCCTACAGACCCTCCGGCAAGCCAAGTGGAACACTCCGGACCTGCTCCCTCTGACTGAGGACGTTAGAGCCATGCATGCACATATTGAGGTATGTCGACCTGAATATGTGCAAACCCTAATAAGTGAGCCAACGTCTAAGCATTGGCTAAACTGGCAGTTTTGACTCTTTGTGAGGTCATTATTTTCAATAGAAGAAGGGAAGGTGAGGTTTCAAAGATGCCACTGACAGCCTTTACCTTAAGAAGTAAGACTGGGATCCATTCTGACATTGCTCTGGGACTGTCCCAACTTGAGAAAAAGCTGTGTCAGCATTTTCAACGCATTGAAATTAAAGGGAAAAGAAGTCGGAAAGTGCCGGTTCTTTTGACTCCTGAAATGATTGCTTGGATGGAGGTGCTGGTGGAGAACAGAAGGGCCTGTTCCATCTCTGACCATAACCCATACTTCTTTTCCCGCCCGGGCGCAGACACCCACATCAGGGGATCAGACTCCCTACGCCAGGTAGCCAAAGAATGTGGTGCGGTGCATCCAGAGATGCTATCCTCAACCAAACTTAGAAAGCACATAGCTACTATGTCTACAGTTCTCAATATGAAAGAGAATGAAATGGACATACTAGCCAACTTCCTCGGCCATGACATTCGCATCCACAGGCAATATTACAGACTACCAGAGGGGACACTGGAGCTGGCCAAAATCAGCAAAGTGTTGATGGCCATGGAGCAGGGAAGAGTGACGGAATTCAAAGGAAAGAGCCTCGACCAAATTGAGCCTGAAGGTAATTCTTGATATTATTAAAATATGTATGATTTTTTTCCCCTAAAGGCCACTTGTATTTTTATTTTCTGTGCGACAGGGAGAGCAGTAGAGATCCTCTCACAAACGGACGGGCTAAAAGAAACTTCAAGCGGAGAACCTTCAACCATTCATCCAGATGCACCCCATGGTAGTGGCAGTGCCCCTTCTGGTAAGTGTACCAGGTGGGGGATTACAGCCAGGCTGCTTGGTCCTAACCCTGGGAGTGTATATTGCTAATATATTTGTATTTCTCTCCCTAGAACGTGTAAGAAAGCCATGGTCTGCATCTGAGGTGAAGGCTGTGGAGAAGACCATGACGCCTTTCATACAGACTGGAAAAGTCCCTGGGAAGTCTCCACTGCCTGGCCTGCATTAATGCCTCACCAGATGACCTTAGACATCGGACATGGAGTGGCATTAAATTCTATGTCAAAAATAGAATCACTGCAATTCGAAAAAAAAATCTAAAATAAAATTCCTTTAAAAGAGTTGTTTGTTTTCTATTGACTGTTTTGTATTACTTAAAGTATTCCCAGTAAAAAAAGATTATGTCTATGGGTCCCATTCTGAACGGCCCTGTCAAAGGGACCCACCAGGTAACAAAAACGTGTATGTGTGTGTGTGTGTGTACGTGTATGTGTGTGTGTGTGTGTGTGTGTGTGTGTGTAGAAGCAGCTCTGACCGGTTGTGTTTGAAGGGCTTGTGGTTGCAGGGGAACCACTCCTTGGAGCCGACCACTCTGGCGTCGATGTAGTATCCCATCAGGTGCTTCAGGCTTTTGGGGGAATCCCACTGGACGAACACAGACGACTTTGAGTTTCTGGTGGCAGTGACTTGTCCCGGGGCAGACGGGACGCCTGGGGAGGAAACACAAACATTCAGTACGTTTTTTTCCATAGTTCTAACACAACTCAAGCCTCCTGTTGAACCGAAAACCAGAGACCAGAGGGAACAGAGACGCTAAAATACTCACAATTCAGCAATAAGACTACATTTCTCATTCATAATGATAATAATAACATTCAGGTCAGAACTGTAACTGGAAATATGTTTTGAGAGAGAGACCAGAGAGAGAGACTATTGAGAGGCCAGAGAGAGGCCAGAGAGAGAGACCAGAGAGAGACCAGAGAGAGAGACTATTGAGAGGCCAGAGAGAGGCCAGAGAAAGAGGCCAGAGAGAGAGACCAGAGAGAGAGTAGAGAGAGAGACTATTGAGAGGTCAGAGAGACCAACGAGAGAACAGAGAGACCAGAGAGACCAGAGAGAGACTATTGAGAGGCCAGAGAGGGACCAGAAAGAGAGACCAGAGAGAGATCAGAGAGAGACAGAGAGAGACCATAGAGAGACCAGAGAGAGAGACCAGGGAGGTCGATAAACCTGTTAGGAACACACAAAAAGACGTTAAAATCCTCACAATTCAAAATGAACTCTAGATGAATAAGTTGATTGTGTGGAACATACAGAACATACAGCAGTGAGCAGATCAACGAGGGAAGTGTGATCTCTGTGCACGTCACTTTATACTGATTTTAATCTTAGACAAAGACGGTGAAAATTCAAAGTGAGGTGAGTTTGCAAAAATGTGATCAAAGTGAAGTTAGAGACAGAATCTCTACGTACCGATCAGCTTCTCCTCGTCTGAAAACAACAACACATGGATGAACTATGAGCGGTTACAGTGAGAGAAAAATCACTGGACACTATTTACACTGCAAAAAGAGATGAAAAATGAATGAAAATGATCAAATTTGGCAAAATATATCGTAATTTGAGCACATTCTGACTGCCTTAAAACCAGATTTTCCACCGGGACAAAGGACAATTATCTTCTTTCAAAAAAATACTAGAATTGTCTCTCTTGAAATGAGAAATGAGGCGTTTGTCCCTTACCGTCCTGGTCTATTTTCTACACAGGCTGATAAAGTAAGACCAGAGAGAGAAACCAGAGAGAGAAAGGCCAGAAAGAGAGAGACCGTTAAGAGACCAGAGAGAGACCAAAGAGAGAGAGAGAGAGAGAGAGACCAGAGAAAGAGAGAGAGACCAGTGAGAGACCAAAGAGAGAGAGAGACCAGAGAGAGAGAGAGACCAGTGAGAGACTAGAGAGAGACCAGGGAGAAAGTCTAGAGAGAGACCAAAGAGAGAGAGACCAGAGAGAGAGAGACCAGGGAGAGACTAGAGAGAGACCAAAAAGAGAGACACTAGAGAGAGACCAGAGAGAGACCAGAAAGAGAGACCAGAGAGAGACCAGAGAGAGAGACTAGAGAGAGACCAGAGAGAGACCAGAAAGAGAGATCAGAGAGAGACCAGAAAGAGAGATCAGAGAGAGAACAGAGAGAGAGATCAGAGAGAGACCAGAGAGAGAGATGTGTTGTTAAACTTGTATATAATTTTTTTTTAGTTCATATGTATTATTTATATATTTAGGTATCATATGGTTTGTGTGTTTTTACAGCGTTAGCATGATACAAACTTTTAAATAAATTGAAAAAAATTAAGGTATCAATGTATTTTTTGATGTGTTTTTCTACATTTACAGCCTCCTCATGGCCGTGGTCTGGGTCTTACCGTCCTGGTCGACTTTCTGCACGGGCTCCGTGGGCCGCGAGGCGTCACTGGAGCCGTGCATGTTCACAGAATACACTCTGAACTGGTATTTCTGTCCCTCCTCTAAGTCAAAGACGGGAAAGCGAGGGGAGCTGATGGCGACCGCCGTGTTGATGCGCTGCCATGCCTCTGATCCTGCAATGCACTATGGGAAAGCAGGGGCCACAGGGACAACCACAAAAACCAGGCAGAAAAAAAAACACATGTAAAACTAGCCACGAACACAAAGAGACACACAGAGGCTGCTGACAGAGCTGTACCTGTGCACGCTAATGTGCAATATCTCACTTTATATTTTTAGAAAGTGCCGGAGTATAGACCTAAGCATGTGATAATACAGTGAACAAAGTCACTTCTCCAAATCTGAAGAGGAGCTTGGTGAGCAAAAATCAAGTAAAAGGCACATTTATTAAAACTCATTAGAATTTGTTTCAGGAAAATAATTGTATTGACTTACTGCTTTGTACTTCTCTGTCAATGTTTAAGAGACAAATGCAGCATCATCCCCAAATCAGAATTCAGAGACATACTTCTCAATATACTTAAAAAAAAGTCTCCAGTCTCTCTCTGGTCTCTCTTTTTGGTCTCTAGTCTCTCGCTGGTCACTTAAGGCATGGCTGCGTCACGATTCAGACATACTGCCACAAATGTAGTATTTGGTGGTTATATCTAACAATGAAGGATTTAATAATGCATCTTCGGAGAGTCCATGGAGCATGACTATCGGTCGGCCTCGAAGAGGTTCTGGCAAACCGTCCGGCGCCTCAGGAGGGGGAAGCAGTTATTTGCCAACACCATGTACGGTGCGGGTGGAGAGCTGCTGACCTCGACTGGGGATATTGTCGGGCGGTGGAAGGAATACTTCGAGGTTCTCCTCAATCCCCCCGTCACGTCCTCCGTTCAGGAGGCAGAGGCTGAGGATGTTGGGGCGGATACTTCCATCTCCCTGGCCGAGGTCACCAAGGTGGTTGGTAGCCTCCATGGTGGCAAGGCTCCGGGTGTGGATGAGATCCGCCCTGATTATCTAAAGTCTCTGGATGTTGTAGGACTGTCTTGGCTGACACGTCTCTGCAACATCGCGTGGCGATCGGGGGCAGTGCCAATGGAGTGGCCGACCGGGGTGGTGGTCCCTCTCTACAAGAAGGGGGACCGGAGGGTGTGTTCCAATTATCGTGGGATCACACTCCTCAGCCTCCCCGGTAAGGTCTACTCCAAGGTACTGGAGAGGAGGCTACGGCCGATGGTCGAATCTTGGATCCAGGAGGAGCAGTGTGGTTTTCGTCCCGGTCGCCGAACACTGGACCAGCTCTATACTCTCCATCGGATACTCGAGGGTTCATGGGAGTTCGCCCAACCTGTCCACATGTGCTTTGTGGATTTGGAGAAGGCGTTCGACTGTGTTCCCCGGGGTGTCCTTTGGGGGGTTCTCCGGGAGTACGGGGTCCAGGGTCCTCTGCTGAGGAACTCAAAAATAGTTTGACGTCTATATTCGACAGTTCAGTGAGTAGCTCTTTGATCTTCACTTTTTCTGATTTGGGGATGTGGCCCTTTATAACACACAATAATATACAATACACACATAAAAGACACAAGTAACACACGTACAATAACACACAGCGGAGAACACACACCTTCTCGATGACGTACGACAGCGGCGCTCGTCCTCGTGGTTTTGGCGGCATCCAGCTCAGAACCACGTAGGATCTACAAACCTCAGACACATGCAGCTCTGTGGGCTCCAGAGGCAGAGTCACGAAGCCTGAGGGCCAAGTTCAGGTCAGACCCAGACCAGACCAGACCAGGGAACCAGAATCCACTGGGTCTGTCACAACTTAGTGCAGTGTATACAGGGGAATATCATCTATTTTGTAATATTTCTTTATAGAGAAATATAGATTCATTGTATACAGACAGGGGTATAACATGCAACGTCCACTAATCCACTCTACTGTACTCGGCTCTACTCTACTCTAGTCTATTTTTCAGTACCAGCTTGGCCCTGGCTCTGGTACTAAAGTGTTCTGACAGTGATTGGCCAGTGTTGCTAGAAGCCATGGCTATCAAGGAATTTCCACAAATACTGGTTTGTTGTGGGTACGTCATAGAATACATAACCAGATACTAACTCCAGCTCAGAACTCTTTCTGGTATCTCTCTGGTGTGTCTCTCTGGTCTCTCTCCTATCTCTCTCTGTTCTCTGTCTGCTCTCTTTCTGGTCTCTCTCTCTGGTCTCTCTCTCTGTTCTCTGTCTGGTCTCTCTCCGGTCTCTCTCCGGTCTCTCTCTCCGGTCTCTCTCTCTGGTCACTCTCTCTGGTCACTCTCTGGTCTACACAACCAGGTACAGTAGAGTAGAGTAGATTTGAGCCAAGGTGATGGTGCTGTGGGTTTTTTTGTCACTCTATTTTAAGACTGTAAACATTGAATAAAACATACACATGAACCATTTCAAACCCCAAAAAGATAATAGTTCATGTAATCTTTAGTAAGTAGTAAGTAATCTTTATTTATATACCGCCTTTTCACTGCAGACCAGAGTCACAAAGCGGTTTACAATTGTTATTTTTGGGCATTTGTCTCTCACTCCACACAGAGATGGGAGCGGGGCCAGTACAGGAGGCGCATGCCAGAACTATTGGACATATTTTTAGTGGTAGGGGAAACCAGAGTACCCGGAGGAAACCTACGCAGACACGGGGAGAACATGCAAACTCCACGCAGAAAGACAGGGATTCAAACCCAGGACCTTCATGCTGAGAGGCAAGAGTGCTATCCACTCAGCCCATGTTATTATGGGAATAGTTGTGACAGACTCGGGTGGAAAACTAGCTCCACTTGGACTTCTATAGTTTAGCACAGAAGCAGACCACAACAATATAACATCACAGACAACAAAATACACATTTGTACAATGACATTTAAAGCATCAGACACACACACACACACACACATGCAGGGGTTGGATGCAGAGCAGACACACACACCATCAAACCTGCCTCTGCTGCTTCCACGGTAGATAATAACCACTTTTCAATACAATTTATATCATACCAACAACATCAGAGGTTTTTGTTTTAATTGATGTTATGTTAAAACTTTACAGATCCACTAGTGTCGATCTCATTAACAGCTGTAACTTGAGGCCTCTCTAAACGAAGCGAAGGAGGAATATAAAATAGCTTTGAATGTTTTTTATTAGCAGCAGAAAATAATCTAGTTCTAAAAATTGGCTGAATGCAACTCACCCAACAACAGAAATTTGCATTGAAATTGTGAGTGTTTGTGTGTGTCTTTGTACAGTATGTGTGTGTATGGCGTGTACTTGTACTTGTACTGTATGTGTACGTATATGTGGGTGTTTGTGTAAGTGCATGTGTTTGTGTATCTGTGTGTGTCTGGTTGTGTGTGTACATGTACGTATATCTATGTATGTATGTGTGTGTGTGTGTGTGTGTGTGTGTGTGTGTACTGTATGTATGGGTGTGTGTGAGTATTTATGTGTATGCATATGTGTACATGTATGTGTATGCACTGTATGTGTGTGTGTATGTGTATTATTTTGTTCTGTGCAGTAAAGTTTGTTTTGCGTTTTTAAACACATTGATCTATTGACTGCATGCTAACTCTTTAAGCTAACTACGTATGTTGCTAGCTTTCTCATGCTTTAAAAACAAAAACAAGAGACAGTGAAATAATAGTTTACCTGTTACACTGCAAAAAATGATCAAATATGAGATCATAATTGCTAGAATCGAGTTTTTTTTTAACTTGACTTAAGTTCATTCTTAAGAGTGTCTTAAAATGAGATTTGCCAATGAGACAAGCAATTTTGACTTGATTCAAGAACTATTGCTTTATTTTCTCATTCCAAGAGAAAAATATCTTGTATTTTTTTAAAACAAGACCATTTTTCTTGTTCCACTGGCAAATCTTGTTTTAAGGCAGTCAAAATGTGCTCAAATTTAGATACATTTAGCCAAATTTTAGCATTTTTTGGTCTTTAATTCTGTCAACTTTTGCAGTGTAATTCCAACTGTGTGGAATGATGCCAACCTTTTCTAGCATAAAAGTAAATATATACACACGTTTCCAGGACTCTTTTGTGATCTGCAATTGCTGTGTGTGCGATGAAGCTGTAGCATTGATCCAAAACACATTTTAACATAAAAACACATCTTTTTAGTCCAACACGTGATGTTATTCCACTCAGCACTTTGAAGGAAAAAGGGGGGAATATTAAAAAAACGGTGTGATTATGATGAAAGTGAAGGAGGGGAAGTCTCGAACACAACCTTTTACCTTCCAGCTCATCGTCTCTGATCACGATATCGTATCTCCCCTCCATTTGTATCACTGTTCCGGATTACACACAGAGCGATCATGTGGCGGGACCCTGCTGCTGTGAGTTCTGCCATTTACCTTCGTCTGTACCTTGCAGCCTCTCGTTCTCGGCGGCGTCGATGGCCGTGACCTTGTCGGACTTCCGCGAGGGTCTGCTGATGCCCGCGCTGTTCACGGCCCGCACCCGGAAGTGGTAGGAGTGGCCCAGCTTCAGGCCCTGCACCGGGTATTTACAAACCTTCACCGGGGAGTCGTTGCACTGCACCCAGGAGTCGCTTCCAGATTCACAACTGAAAACAAACGCAAGAAATATACTGTCATTTCCGGACAATTAGACGCTACTTTCTATTAGCGGCTTATATAGCGATGTGGCTAATGTGCGCGAGAGACTTAGTGTTTTAACTCATGTTTTAGTAGCTACTGTACGCACACACTTGTTAATTATGTTGTAGATTTGAAAGGGCGGCACGGTGGCTGAGTGGATAGCACTCTCGCCTCTCAGCAAGAAGGTCCTGGGTTCGAATCCCGGTTGGACCAGGGCCTTTCTGAGTGGAGTTTGCATGTTCTCCCCGTGTCTGCGTAGGTTTCCTCCAGGTGCTCCGGTTTCCCCTACCACTAAAAATATGTACAATAGGTCTGACATGCGCTTCCTGTACTGGCACCCCCACTCCCAAAAATAACAATTGTAAACCGCTTTGAGACTCCGATGTGCAGTGAAAAGGCGGTATATAAATAAAGATTACTTACTTACTACTACAGCACATGTCGATACAAGCTCATGTTTTCATTCATCTGCCAACATTTATAAAATTGTGAAATTCTACATTTAATCATGAAATGTTTTATCAAAATGTTTTTATTGTATGTGTTTCTGTATTAGTCTGAGGTCAATGAGTTTAGAGCAAAACAATGGACAGCCTTGGAGTGTTCTTTTCAGAGAAGGGAGTCTCTGGATCTCACTGGACTGGAGATGAGACCGGACCAGACCAGACCCAGACCAGGCTCTCCGGTCTTACCATAGATGGAGTAACAATGACGTCTTCGGAGGCACTTCCTCTTCTTCTACACGTTTCATAAAACTGTTTTGAACGAGGGGGCGACATTAGCTCAGTTGGTAGAGCATTGGCCTTTGGGCCTGAAGGTCGTGGGTTCGAGCCCACCATAAGACCTACTTTACGACTCCCACTGATGACTGCTGTCGTTGTGTCCTTGGGCAAGACTCTTAACCCCACTTTGCCTGAAGCTCCCACTGAAAGATCTCAGTTCCTGTGGACTCACCACCTGCAGGAGGATCAGTGTGGGGCTGGTGCTAAGTGTACTGGGTGCAGCTCTGACTGCCACCCCTCGACCCAGAAATGGATTAAGGGGAAGAAAATGGCTGGATGTTTTGAACGATATTGTGAGTCAGTCTGAGCCAGAGAGAGGACCTGGAAGTCCTCTAATAGTTTTCAGGCCTGGAGGGACTGCTAATTTGGCTCAGCTCATAGGGATAGTTGGGGAAATAGGAGCTTTTGTATTAGTATTTAATTGTAAAGAGAACCAAATATTGTGTATTTGAACTCTTGAATATCACGTCCACAAAATGTGTCAAAACAGATGGAGGTGAATGAGCGACGGAAGCTAACGGTTAAGCTAACACCCCGTCATCAAATCCTGTTGTGTCCAGTTAAAACAGCCGTCTCTCTGCTTCATTACAACATGAAAATCCGCAGCTGACTGTATATTTAAGTGAATAGATGCCTTTATTAGTCCCACACTGGGGAATTACAGAAAGTATTATATAATGAATTGTGTGCGTAAGTTTTGTAAATAGTGTATTCTTGGATGAATGTGTCAAAACTATAATATTAGTATTGACTGACAGCTCTGTCTTGAATATTTGTCATATTAATGGATTTTAATGGATTTTTAACATCATGAACAGGGGACTACAGCTGAAATATGGCGTCCTTGACTAATTCTGTTTTTTTGTTTTTATTGCATGATTCCCTTTGAAATAAACTAAACTGAATGTGAATATAAGTAAGTAAGTTATTTATATACAGTCTTTCACAGACCGGAGTTACAAAGAGCTTTACAATCGTGGGCATTTCATCGGGAGGCACATTTCATCAGGAGGCACATGCCAGACCTATTGTACATGTTTTTAGCCGGAGCACCTGGAGGAAACCTACGCAGACATGGGGAGACCATGCAAACTCCACTCAGAAAGGCCCTGTTCCGACCGGGATTCGAACCCAGGACCTTCTTGCTTGGGAAGTTCAGCTCTTCTGTATTAGCCTGTGACTGACAATAGGCTGTCTTCCTCTGGGGCCGAGTGTTTTTAGGATTTTAACTCTAAGGACAGTGCTGACATTTAAGGACAGTGGTACTTCCTGCTGCTTATGGACCAATGGCTCCGGTCCAGAGAGGCAGCATCGAAAAACGGGCAGAATCTCACCGGTCCACAAAGTATCCGGTGATGGCCGCCTCGTTGACGGTGTTGGGAGGTTTCCAGGCGACCAGCACAAAGTCTGCGTTGACGTCGTAGGCCTTCACGCTCATGGGGGCTCCGGGGGCCCCAGCGGAGGAGGGGGCGGCGTCTGCAGACAGGGTTTAAAGCTAGTTATTTTTACTCCATATGAAAAAACATGTTTACTAAGAACAAATGTGACCTTCTTAAGAATATTTACCTCTACCACGTTTTTAAATATGTTTTTATAGGCTTAGAATTTCACTTACAAATGTCCATGAGAGCAGAGTACTGTCTGTGTGAATGCGCCATCTTGAAATACAGTGGCCCATAAGGAACAAAAAGGATGCAAGAATCGCGTGTTCGTTTCACATGAGCTACTGATATTGTTGCTTTCACCGAGCTTGAAGAAGGAACCATGGAAGACCACAGTTATGTACCATGGAAGACCACAGTTATGTACCATGGAAGACCACAGTTATGTACCATGGAGGACCACAGTTATGTACCATGGAGGACCACAGTTATATACCATGGAAGACCACAGTTATGTACCATGGAGGACCACAGTTATGTACCATGGAAGACCACAGTTATGTACCATGGAGGACCACAGTTATGTACCATGGAGGACCACAGTTATGTACCATGGAGGACCACAGTTATGTACCATGGAGGACCACAGTTATGTACCATGGAAGACCACAGTTATGTACCATGGAGGACCACAGTTATGTACCATGGAAGACCACAGTTATGTACCATGGAGGACCACAGTTATGTACCATGGAAGACCACAGTTATGTACCATGGAGGACCACAGTTATGTACCATGGAGGACCACAGTTATGTACCATGGAGGACCACAGTTATGTACCATGGAAGACCACAGTTATGTACCATGGAGGACCACAGTTATGTACCATGGAGGACCACAGTTATGTACCATGGAGGACCACAGTATGTACCATGGAAGACCACAGTTATCTACCATGGAGGACCACAGTTATGTACCATGGAGGACCACAGTTATGTACCATGGAGGACCACAGTTATGTACCATGGAGGACCACAGTTATGTACCATGGAGGACCACAGTATGTACCATGGAAGACCACAGTTATCTACCATGGAGGACCACAGTTATGTACCATGGAGGACCACAGTTATGTACCATGGAGGACCACAGTATGTACCATGGAAGACCACAGTTATCTACCATGGAGGACCACAGTTATGTACCATGGAAGACCACAGTTATGTACCATGGAAGACCACAGTTATGTACCATGGAAGACCACAGTTATGTAAAAGCACCATGGAGGTCTCTCTCTGATCTTTCTCTCTCTCTGGTTTCTCTCTCTGATCTCTCAGACTCTCTCTCTTTCTCTCTCTCTGGTTTCTCTCTCTGATCTCTCAGACTCTCTCTCTTTCTCTCTCTCTGGTTTCTCTCTCTGATCTCTCAGACTCTCTCTCTTTCGCTCTCTCTCTATGGTCTCTGATCTTGCTGTCTAGAGTATAGAGTCTCTCTGGTCTCTCTCTGGTCTCTCTCTGGTCTCTCTCTGGTCTCTCGTCTAGGGTCTCTTTCTGATCTCTCTCTCTCTCTCTCCCTGGTTTCTCTCTGGTCTCCATCAATTGTCACATATATTTTAGCAGAATAATATGGAGTGGACTTTGAACCGAGACAGAGTAGAGATGTACCGGAGACAAAGAGGTAGGCGCTGTGGTCCACGGTGCCGTCTTTGGCGTAGATCCTCACGGTGTAGAGACCCTCGTCGTCTTTGGCCAGAGACGGGAGAGTGAGACGAGCCACGCCTCCTCCCACCGACATCTCGGCCAGTTTACCCGCCGTCAGCTGTTTATCTGAGAGGAACCAGGAACAAGAGCAAAGTTACTGAACCATCGAACGGAAGGGAGAAGATTAAGGTGCGCTTCCACTTTGTCAATGAATCGGTCAAGTGTGACTGTTTTGATCAGTTTCTCTCTCTGGTCTCTCTCCGGTCTTTCTCTCTGGTCTCTCTGGTTTCTCTATGGTCACTCTCTCTGGTCTCTCTCTGATCTCTCTTTGGTCACTCTCTCTACTCTCTCTGGTCTCCCATTGGCCTCTCTGGCCTCTCATTCTGGTCTCTCTCTCTCTGGTCACTCTCACTGGCCTCTCCCTCTGGTCTCTGTCTGGTCTCTCTCTAAACTCTCTCTCTGGTCTCTCTCTCTGGTCTCTCTCTCTGGTCTCTTTCTGGTCTCTCTCTCTAGTTTCTCTCTCTGGTCTCTCTCTAGTCTCTCTCTGGTGTCTCTCTGGTCTCTCTCTCTCGTGATTCTCACTGGTCTCTCTCTAGTCTCTCTCTAGTCTCTCTCTCTAGTCTCTCTCTCTCTAGTCTCTCTCTCTCTAGTCTCTCTCTCTCTAGTCTCTCTCTCTCTAGTCTCTCTCTAGTCTCTCTCTCTGGTCTTTCTCTAGTCTCTCTCTAGTCTCTCTCTCTAGTCTCTCTCTCTAGTCTCTCTCTAGTCTCTCTCTCTGGTCTTTCTCTAGTCTCTCTCTAGTCTCTCTCTCTAGTCTCTCTCTCTGGTCTCTCTCTAGTCTCTCTCTCTGGTCTTTCTCTAGTCTCTCTCTAGTCTCTCTCTCTAGTCTCTCTCTCTGGTCTCTCTCTAGTCTCTCTCTCTGGTCTTTCTCTAGTCTCTCTCTAGTCTCTCTCTCTGGTCTCTCTCTAGTCTCTCTCCAGTCTCTCTCTGATCTCTCTCTCCAGTCTCTCAAGTCTCTCTCTGGTCTCTCTCTAGTCTCTCTCTAGTCTCTCTCTCCGGTCTCTCTCTAGTCTCTCTCTCTAGTCTCTCTCTCTAGTCTCTCTCTGGCCTTACAACATACAGCTGCTGTATTTTAGAACACATCACCCCTGCCATAAACGAGAGACGACTCTACATTTTCATACATACAAAAACAAACAGAAACCATGTGTGTTTCTGGTGTTTGGACTCACCGTCTCTGTACCAGTGGACCAGCGGGGGGACGTTGGGGAGGTCCGGCACCACGACCATGGAACAGGCCAAAGAGATGGATGTGCCTTCTACTCCGAAACTCACGGAGAAACAGTCCAGAAGAGAAACCTCCAGCTTACTGGGGTGGATGTCCTTCAGATGGGGCACTGCACACACACACACACACACACACACACACACACACACACACACACACACACACACACACACACACAGTATATTATAGAGGCAAGTGTTATACTAAAGCTGAGGTACCTGACTTTCACACAACTATAAATGGAGTATGTCATAAAATGTAACTGGTCCTTCGCTCTCAAAACAGTTCGTGATCATTTGTTTTCACATGAATGTATTTTTGGTCTCTATCACATCTCTGGTCTCTCTTTGATCTCTCTTTGGTCTCTCTCTGGTCTCTCTTTGGTCTCTCTCTGGTCTCTCTCTGGTCTCTCTTTGGTCTCTCTTTGGTCTCTCTCTGGTCTCTCTCTGGTCCCTCTCCAGTCTCTCTCTGATCTCTCTGGTCTTTCTTTGATCTCTATCTCTCTCTCATCTCTCTGTCTCGGTTCTCTCCCTGGTCTCTCTCTCTGGTCTCTCTCTGATCTCTGTCTCTGGTGTCTTTCTGGTCTGTCTCTCTGGTCTCTCTAGTCTCTATCTGGTCTCTCTCTCTCATCTCTCTGTCTCTAGTCTCTATCTGGTCTCTCTCTGGTTTCTCTCTCTGGTCTTTCTATGATCTCTCTCTCTCTGGTCTCTCTCTCTCTCTATCTCTGATCTATCTCTCTCTGGTCTCTCTCTGATCTCTCTTTCATGGTTTCTCTCTAGTCTCTCTCTTAGCCAATCAGCTCTCAGCCTATAACATCAAATAGTGACTCACAGGGCTCTTTTTACTGAGCAAAAAATAACATGTTTTTTTACTGAAATGAAGAGAGGATTGGAGAAACGTTTACAACATTCTAAAAGTGACTAACAATAGTAGTAGTAATAGTAAGCAAGTACCCCTTAAAACCCAATAAAATCTCTTTCCCTGAACATAAATCTGTCTTGTTTGTTTTTTATCCTTGTGTTTAAATGTCAGTGTGTTGTTGTGTCTCTGGGACCACAGCTCCTCAGAATAGTTTCCACTGATTGTCTCTCACGTGTCCTGCTTCTATTCTGGGAAGAGAGTCTGAAGCAGAGAAACCCGGGGCTTCGTCCAAACTGATATTACCACTGGATTTTCAGTCGTGACGAAAAGTGTTTACTGACCCAGGCCGAGATGACAGGGCTCTCCAGACGCACTCGCTCCTGGGAACAGAGAAGCCAGGGTTACACAGAAAGACTTGGATCTCTGTATATCTATAGCAGTTGTTTGTTATTGCACACATATTGCACATTCACGGACATAACTGTGTGTATCTGGGTAGGCCTTAATCAGTCATTTCTATTTTTACAAACTTCTCTCACCATCTAAAAGACACTAGGATCTTAGTGACGCCACCTGAATGTGAAAGCCAAATTGCGTCTGAAGCTAAGCAGGGCAGGTCCTGGTTAGTACTGTGATGGGAGACCTGGGTGGCTGCGGCTGTAAAGTTCCAAACTGTGGTTGTGTCCTTAGGCAAGACACTTCACCCCCAAAGCCTAGAGTGAGTCTGGTGTGTGTGAAGGGTCTGAGGGGCCGATGGCACAGACTGGTTGCCTGGCTTCTGTCAGTGTGGCCCAGGGCAGCTGTGGCTACCGCAGTACATTATCACCACTGTGTAGGGAGTGAAAGAATATTGTCCCATGAGGCGTCTTTGAGTGTCTCAAATTTGGCTCCGGTCAAATTTGCTGTATATCAAGATATGTTAACTAGTTTTAGCACTTAGGTAAACATCTTGTAAACTACTTACTTAATAAAAGTAGAAAACTGAAGGTCGCCAGTACAGGGGGCACATGCCAGACCTATTGTACATGTTTTTAGTGGTAGGGGGATCCGGAGCACCCAGAGAAAGCCCAAGCAGGCACTCCACTCAGAAAGGTTCCAGCCAGGATTTGAACCCAGGACCTTCTTACGGAGAAGCAAGAGGGCTAACCACTCAGCCACCGTGCCGCCCTGTGTGAATGTATGCAGTAAATGTATGAAGTGGACTTACTCTTGACTGTGACTGTGGCTTTGCTGCTGGTGGTTCCATGTTGGTTTGTGGCCACAGCGCTGTACTCTGCTGTATCACTCACTACACACCTGCAACACACCACACACACAACACACAACAGATACAACAGACACACACACACATAAATCTTAGGGGGAATAAACAACATCATGTAGAGTCAGAAAAACAGTAAATGGACACAGTGCGAGTAAAGTTTGTAATGATCTCACATCTAAATAGTTCCTTTCTCTCAAACATCTTAGTGCGATCACGTTTTAGGATGGTCTCTCTCACACTGAGGGTGGTCTCTCTCATACTTGGAGTGGTCTCTCTCTTACATTGGGGGTGGTCTCTTTCTTACATTGGGCTTGGTCTCTCTCTAAGAAAATGTCAAATAAGGCCGCACATCCCTGTAATCTGAGCTGGCGTGCTGGATTAAAAAATGCAAGACGTAGAAAACAGTGAAAAATAATCCGCACAGCTATGTAGCTCCCAAAAACAGTGTAATTTATTTACATACCACACAAAATAGTAACGTTTCGGGCTGAGGCCCTTCGTCAGACTACTACTACTGCTTGGTCTCTCTCTAACATTGGGAGTGGTCTCTCTCTTACATTGGGAGTGGTCTCTCTTACATTGGGAGTGGTCTCTGTCTCACACTGGGGGTGGTCTCTCTCTTACATTGGGAGTGGTCTCTCTCATACATTAGGAGTGGTCTCTCTCTTACACTGAGGGTGGTCTCTCTCTTACATTGGGAGTGGTCTCTCTCTTACACTGAGGGTGGTCTCTCTCTTACATTGGGAGTGGTCTCTCTCATACATTGGGAGTGGTCTCTCTCATACATTGGGAGTGGTCTCTCTCTTACACTGAGGGTGGTCACTCTCTTACATTGGGAGTGGTCTCTCTCTTACATTGGGAGTGGTCTCTGTCTCACACTGGGGGTGGTCTCTCTCTTACATGGGGACTGGTCTCTCTCTTACACTGAGGGTGGTCTCTCTCTTACATTGGGAGTGGTCTCTCTCTTACATTGGGAGTGGTCTCTCTCTAACATTGGGAGTGGTCTCTCTCTTACATTGGGAGTGGTCTCTCTCTTACATTGGGAGTGGTCTCTCTCTTACATTGGGAGTGGTCTCTCTTACACTGAGGGTGGTCTCCCCCTAACATTGGGAGTGGTCTCTCTCTTACACTGGGAGTGGTCTCTCTTTCACTGAGGGTGGTCTCCCCCTAACATTGGGAGTGGTCTCTCTCTTACACTGGGAGTGGTCTCTCTTTCACACTGGGAGTGGTCTCTCTTTCACACTAGGGGTGGTCTCTCTGTGATTGCTTCTATCTTGTGTCTAACTTGCCTGTGTTACTCAGGGACAGTGCTGCCCTCTAGCCTCCGGTGGCAGAATTGACGCATTTTTGTCATTGTAGGAAATCATCTTAATAATTTTTTTTTTCTTTAAATAGTAGCATTTTTACAAACAGTTTTGCAACTTTGTGATTGTCAAGACAAGAATCTGTTTTATCCTCAAAGATTGATGTGTGCGAGTCTGAAGGAGAGCGAGGCCGAGCGGAGGCAGCAGCTCTGAGGTATTTGTGGCTTTGAATGACGCAGAACTCAGCACTTGACAAGAACAGCTGACGGTCTTCAAGATGACGAACAGAAGCAAGAAGCCAAGGAGAAGCCTGGAGCCTCTACGGTGGCCCCCAAGGATCAAACCCAGACTCTGCATGATGTAAGCTCCTGCTATTACATCAACCTTAATCATCCTGAGTGAGTGGGACCGTGTTGGGAGTAACAAAAGTAATGAATGACTGTTTCACTGCAAAAATTAATAAAATATGTCGTGATAATTGCTTGAATCGAGTGGTTTTTTACTAAATCTGTGTAGAATCTAAAAGTAGATTTGCCAAAGGGACAAAGCCATTTAGTGTTGAATAGAATAGAAATGTATTGTCTGTTCATTTGAGCAGAATTTTGTCTTTCAACACGCCACATTTAAAGGTCATTCATTAAAACACACTTCAATTATTTATTTCAAGAACTTCATTTTCTCATTCCAAGGGAGACATTTCTTGTGTCTTTTTAAAACAATTATTTCATTTTGCTTTGTCACATTGGTAACTCTTGTTTTAAGTCATAATGTGCTCAGATTAAGATACATTTTTGCCAAATTTGAGCAATTTTCGTTGTCTTATTTGGCATCATTTTTGCAGTGTTTTGGCTCTGGTGTGTTACCTGCTGATGATCAAACTGTGGACCCCATATTTATTCTCAATCTTGTACTTTCCAGGAGCGCTCAGAGGGTCGACCGGGACGCCGCCCTTATACCTGCACACACAACACAACAAGACAGGATTACAAAACATTAAAGAGCCAAGTTTTTCTGTTTTAGATTTTTATTGTTGTTTGTTTTGTCTTGTGTAAAACCTGGAGGAAGTTGACGTTAACCACCACAATCCAAGTTCTAGATAGGTTCAAACAATATGCTGAAATTGGGAGAAGTTGTTCTAAAATCTACATAATCCGTCCGACCATTTTCTTCCGCTCTATCTGTTGCCGGGTGCAGCAGTCTGAGCAGAGACGCCCAGACTTCCCTCTCCATCTACACTTCCTCCAGCTCGTCTGGGGGAATCCTGAGGGGTTCCCAGGCCAGCTGAGAGACACAGTCCCCCCAACGTGTCCAGGGTCTTCCCGTGGTCTCCTCCCGATGGGAAGAAAGCAGCGGCTCTACTCTGAGCTCCTCCCCTAACCCCCTCCCCCATCCACTCTACGGGGGAAAGTCATGTGGACCACTTGTATCTGCGATCTCTTCCACCATTTTTTACATTATAGTACTACATTAGAGATTATAATCCAATAATATCCCCACCATTTGACGATGGGCCTGGGGTTTCCCTGCACGGTGCAGAAAAGCTTCACTGGAGTTTTCTCCCACACCGTGTGAGGCCTCAGAGCCACCAGGAAGTCCGGCATTTTCCCAATATCATCCAACAACTCCGACTTCCGAGACATCCTCTCCTTCACCTGAGGAACCAGAGGGAAAGTTCTCATGTTATAAACACAAGGATCCTACGCTATACAGTAATCCTGTTCAAAATTGAATTAATTTAATGTCTGCCAGTGATCGATCTCTTCAGAAAATACAATCAAGACTGAGGTGGCCCACAGCCTCAGTCCTGGGTCTACAGCCTCAGTCCTGGATCTACAGCCTCAGTCCTGGGTCTACAGCCTCAGTCCTGGGTCTACAGCCTCAGTCCTGGGTCTACAGCCTCAGTCCTGGGTCTACAGCCTCAGTCCTGGATCTACAGCCTTAGTCCTGGATCTACAGCCTCAGTTCTGGATCTACAGCCTCAGTTCTGGATCTACAGCCTCAGTTCTGGATCTACAGCCTCAGTCCTGGATCTACAGCCTCAGTCCTGGATCTACAGCCTCAGTCCTGGATCTACAGCCTCAGTCCTGGATCTACAGCCTCAGTCCTGGATCTACAGCCTCAGTCCTGGATCTACAGCCTCAGTCCTGGATCTACAGCCTTAGTCCTGGATCTACAGCCTCAGTTCTGGATCTACAGCCTCAGTCCTGGGTCTACAGCCTCAGTCCTGGGTCTACAGCCTCAGTCCTGGGTCTACAGCCTCAGTCCTGGGTCTACAGCCTCAGTCCTGGATCTACAGCCTCAGTCCTGGATCTACAGCCTCAGTCCTGGATCTACAGACTCAGTCCTGGATCTATAGACTCAGTCCTAGATCTACAGCCTGATTTTTTTGTAAAATCCTCTGAGACGACTGCTGTTGTGATATAGAGCTAAATACAAATACATTTAATTGAGTTGATTAAGATTAAGATTAAGAAATCCTTTATTCGTGGGGAAATTTCAGACAATGTGTTGAATGGAGTTGAATAGAGTAGAGTGGACAGACCTCTCTCTGGATGGCGATGTTCTCGACCTGGGCCTTGGTGGCCATCCTCATGCGGTGCAGCTCCTGCTGGATCACATGCAGACCCTTCCCCACGTTTGCAGACACGCGCTGGTACTCTGGAGTGGAGTCATCCTGGGACCTGAGCACAGCCAACACACAGGCATCAATACAGGTGATAGACTGTAGTGTAGAGAGAAAGCAGAGAGAGAGCAGAGAGAGACCAGAGAGAGAGAGCAGAGAGAGACCAGAGAGAGAGAGCAGAGAGAGACCAGAGAGAGACCAGAGAGAGAGAGCAGAGAGAGACCAGAGAGACACCAGAGAGAGAGAGCAGAGAGAGACCAGAGAGAGACCAGAGAGAGACTAGAGAGAGACTAGAGAGAGAGACCAGAGAGAGACCAAGTCCTCTAGCAACCAACATGGAGCTATGGAAGAAGAAGCTTTCAGTTTTCTTCATCTGTTGTATGACCAAAAGTCTGTGAGTATCACTCTTTAAAACTGGCTTCAAACTCATTTTGGTCGGGTCCTGGTCTGAAACGTCCCTCTGACGACGAACAAATGTTATTTTATACAGTGCCTTGCGAAAGTATCCGGCCCCCATTGAACCTTTCAACATTTCGCCACATTTCAGGCTTCAAACATAAAGATATAAAAATATTTTTTTTTGTCAAGAATCAACAACAAGTGGGACACAATCGTGAAGTGGAACGAAATGTATTGGATAATTTAAACTTTTTTAACAAATGAAAAACTGAAAAGTGGGGCGTGCAATATTATTCGGCCTCCTTGCGCTAATACTTTGTAGCGCCACCTTTTGCTGCAATTACAGCTGCAAGTCGCTTGGGGTATGTCTCTATCAGTTTTGCACATCAAGAGACTGGAATTCTTGCCCATTCTTCCTTGCAAAACAGCTCGAGCTCAGTGAGGTTGGATGGAGAGCGTTTGTGAACAGCAGTCTTCAGCTCTTTCCACAGATTCTCGATTGGATTCAGGTCTGGACTTTGACTTGGCCATTCTAACACCTGGATACGTCTATTTGTGAACCATTCCATTGTAGATTTGGCTTTATGTTTTGGATCATTGTCCTGTTGGAAGATAAATCTCCGTCCCAGTCTCAGGTCTTTTGCAGACTCCAACAGGTTTTCTTCCAGAATGGTCCTGTATTTGGCTCCATCCATCTTCCCATCAATTTTAGCCATCTTCCCTGTCCCTGCTGAAGAAAAGCAGGCCCAAAGCATGATGCTGCCACCACCATGTTTGACAGTGGGGATGGTGTGTTCAGGGTGATGAGCTGTGTTGCTTTTACGCCAAACATATCGTTTTGCATTGTGGCCAAAAAGTTCGATTTTGGTTTCATCTGACCAGAGCACCTTCTTCCACATGTTTGGTGTGTCTCCCAGGTGGCTTGTGGCAAACTTTAAACAAGACTTTTTATGGATATCTTTGAGAAATGGCTTTCTTCTTGCCACTCTTCCATAAAGGCCCGATTTGTGCAGTGCACGACTGATTGTTGTCCTATGGACAGACTCTCCCACCTCAGCTGTAGTTATCTGCAGTTCATCCAGAGTGATCATGGGCCTCTTGACTGCATCTCTGATCAGTCTTCTCCTTGTTTGAGATGAAAGTTTGGAGGGACGGCCGGGTCTTGGTAGATTTGCAGTGGTCTGATACTCCTTCCATTTCAATATAATTGCTTGCACAGTGCTCCTTGAGATGTTTAAAGCTTGGGAAATCTTTTTGTATCCAAATCCGGCTTTAAACTTCTCCACAACAGTATCTCGGGCCTGCCTGGTGTGTTCCTTTGTCTTCATGGTTCTCTCTGTGCTTTAAACAGAACCCTGAGACTATCAAAGAGCAGGTGCATTTATACAGAGACTTGATTACACACAAGTGCATTCTATTTATCATCATCAGTCATTTAGGACAACATTGGATCATTCAAAGATCCTCACTGAACTTCTGGAGTGAGTTTGCTGCACTGAAAGTAAAGGGGCCGAATAATATTGCACGCCCCACTTTTCAGTTTTTTATTTGTTAAAAAAGTTTAGATTATCCAATAAATTTTGTTCCACTTCACGATTGTGTCCCACTTGTTGTTGATTCATGACAAAAAATTAAAATTTTATATCTTTATGTTTGAAGTCTGAAATGTGGCGAAATGTTGAAAGGTTCAAGGGGCCGAATACTTTTGCAAGGCACTGTATTATCTTAAATAGTAAGATCTCCTTGGGGCCAAAAGTATGAAAGCGTTTGAAGCTCTATGGATATTTGCATATGCATTTTTTACATGATGAAAGTATTTCAACAAAGGATTTTTTACTTTATTTCAACCTGAGTTTGAAGATTAATTTCTGGCAGAATATTCTCAAAAAAACAAGTTCAGTTTCTGTATATTTGGACTGAACCAAAACTGTGTCCAAGGTAAAGGATTGGCCAATGATTGACAAGTTATGGTTACGTGTTGGGTTAAAATTTGAGAATAAAATAAATGATATGTTTGTTTTATTTACTAAATGATCTTTGAGTTGTGGTATAACACGCCATGGAAGCTCACAATAACCTCATACTGCAAGTTAAAAGTAATAATTGAGAATCATTTATGTGTGTGTGTCTTTATGAGAGAGGATGTGTTCATACAAACCAATGAATAGTAGGTGCAATATATGTGTGTGTGTGAAGTGTGTGTGTGTTTGTGAGGTGTGTGTGTGTGTGTGTGTGTGTGTGTGTGTGTGTGTGTGTGTGTGTGTGAAGTGTGTGCGTTTGTGTGTATGAGAGTAAGTGTGTATTATCTTGCATGTATAACACACCTAATGATTTTGAGAAGACCCCAGGAAGAATATCAACTGCTCCTCAGTGACTAATAAGCGTGTGTGTGTGTGTGTGTGTGTGTGTGTGTGTGTGACCCGTGTCGTGTTGCAGGCCTGGAATAGCTCACCTCTCCCGAAAGGCCGGGACGGTGTAGGCTGGTTGTGCCATCGCCTCGCTGGCCTGCGTCTCTGTTCTCCTTTGCTGCTGACTGACCGACTTCCTGAAGTATAAAAGTGAATTATCTCGTCAAAAACCACAAACTTTATCGACACACTTTCACAACAGCGACTAACAACAAGCTTCATGCACTTCTTAATATATTATTATGTAAAATACAAACAGAGATAGAAGCCACTAGCGTCACAGACAAGACAGGAACTTCACTTTGCACTTGGTCAAAAGTTTAACATATTATTTCAAAAGTTGGTCAAACTAAATAACAGCTAATTAAGTGCTAATTAGTGAATATTGTACGTTTAACAAGCTCTGAATTGGTGTTTATTAAGCACACATGCATGGCCCTAATCAACAATAAACTGACACTTTTCCCATGTGGGTTAGGGGTTAGGTTAGGGCTAGAGTTAGAGCAAGGGCTTAGGCCAGGGCCAGAGCTAGGGCTAAGACTAGAGATAGCGTTAGTGCTAGGGCTAAGGGTTAGGGTTTGAGCTAGGGCTAAGACTAGAGATAGCGTTAGAGCTAGGGCTAAGAGTAGGGTCAGAGTTAGAGCTAGGACTAAGCCTAGGGTCAGAGTTAGAGCTAGGGCTAAGGCTAAGGCTAAGGCTAAGGCTAGGGTTCGAGCTAGATCTAGGGTCAAAGTTAGAACTTGGGCTAAGACTAGAGATAGCATTAGAGCTAGGGCTAAGGCTAGGGTCAGAGTTAGAGCTAGGGCTAGGGCTACGGCTAGAGTTAGAGCAAAGATTAGGGTTAGGGCTCACTACTTAGCACTTAATTAGCTTGTGTTAGCTAGTAGGGCTAATCTAAAGAGCTACCCAAAATTCTTATCATTTTCATACTAGTGTAAAGTTAACAGCGCAGATTATGAAAAAAGATTGAATAATGTGGAAGAATTAAAATCAAATAACGAGTGAGGTTGACGCGCACATCTGAAACTGAACAGTAAGATGAAAGAGTGGAGATGACTTTGCACAACTATTAGCTCCCATCGGATCAAGAATCAAATTGAATGTATTTGGCAGCAGAGTGCAGGAGGATGAGGGTCTAAACAAAACTATTCTCTCTCAATTTTTTAGTTTTCAAATATAATATTATACTGTTATTATTATGTGGCCCTGACCCAGGATGGCTCTGCTCTGGGCCAGCACTGGACCAAGTGACCAAGCACTATCTCTCTCAATGTCTCCCCGAGGTTTCTCACTTTTCCCACTGGGTTTAGAGTTTTTCCTTGCTGGTGCAGGAGGGTCTTATAGTGAGGTCTAAGACTGTGGCGATGATCCAGGACACTTTCACATTTAACAACATGTATGGACATTTATCAACACTTATAGACATTGGTCATCTGCCCCCTATGGACCAATACCAACATGTTTTCTGTTTAATTTCTTGTGTTTGAATTCTGAGATAACTACTGAATACATATGTGACATCACCATAGACTGGACCATATTATACAGAAGGAGGATAAGCATGGCCCACAATCTCCTTGCCGCCTCCTGAACTAGAGACTATAGATTTTATATCTTGACGTGATGGACGCATTTGGTGTGGGTTTCTTTCTCTTCTCATTGCCTAATTTTGTTTACAATTTTGTCTCTGTGTTGTCTTAAGAAATTTCTTCATCCACTTTTTTCAGTGAAACTGCCTTGCTGGGGTTTTGAAATAACTTGAGACCCTGCTCTGGTCTTAGCTCAGGTCTGAATGTGGGTCAGACGAGCCGGACTCTGACCTCAGACTGAAACCACTCGATCCAAGATGGCTGCCACAGACCCAGTTTCACTGAAGAAGCCAGGGACAGTGTAGGGCTCAGAGGCGACCACTGTGACCACGAGGACAAGTTATTAAAACGAACACTGAGAACTTACACCGAAAACACGCCATGATCGTGAATTTCATCTATTTCTATTGGTCCTTGCTGCCATTGAAGGGACGCCTGTAATGTTTAGTATTTTTTATCTGTTTAACACCAGGACAACACAACAATATGATAGAAATAATCTAAATATAGGTACAAAAAGGTACACACATTATGTAATTACACCCAAAACTAAAAGTGTAATTGACTGCTCTGGAAGTTCTAGTTTAGGAAGGTTCCTCTGGTCTTCTGAGTAGATTAGGCTGATTGGTTCTTCTTATTCCAGACACATGTGATGGTGTCTGGGATAAGAAGAACCAAAAAACTCAATTCAAGAATAATTCCTTATTTTTGGTGTCGTGAATCTACGGAGCCCTGCAAGGGCCAGGGGTAAAAAAATAAATAAACTGTGCGCACAGATTGTTAAACTGTGCGCACAGATTACTAAACTGTGCGCACAGATTACTAAACTGTGCGCACAGATTACTAAACTGTGCGCACAGATTACTAAACTGTGCGCACAGATTACTAAACTGTGCGCACAGATTACTAAACTGTGCGCACAGATTACTAAACTGTGCGCACAGATTATTAAACTGTGCGCACAGATTACTAAACTGTGCGCACAGATTACTAAACTGTGCGCACAGATTATTAAACTGTGCGCACAGATTGTTGAACCGTGCCCACAAATGCGTCAGATGAGATGTCACTTCCGGCGCCGCGTCATACCCGGTCTACTGCTACGTTAATATAATAGATCCATGACTACTACTGATTACAGAGACTATTTTTGTTGTATCGTGTTTTTAGTGTGAGATGACGTCGAAAGTTTCAACGTTTACTTTTCAACGGAGACAGGACAGTACGTCTGGTTATCACTGCTGTGTTCCACGATGCTCAAATTCGGCCAGATTTAACTCTGCTTTAAGTTTTTTCACATTCCCTGGAGATGCTTTACTGCGAAAAAAGTGGATCGTGAAAATAAGAAGGGACCAGTTTAAGGTTACGTCAAACACACGGGTCTATTCTCGCCACTTTGAGGCTGAAGATATGATCCAGCCCACCACCCCACAAGGACGTCGTATCTGTGCGCACAGTTTAACAATCTGTGCGCACAGTTTAATAATCTGTGCGCACAGTTTATTTTATTTTTTACCCCTGGCCCTTGCAGGGCTCCGTATGAATCAACCCGTGAACTCTTTCAGCAGCAACAATGAAATGAAAAACTGGATTAGAAGAAGTCATTCCTTATTGGGATAGCTTAAAGATAACTTAGAGAATTCTTTCTTGGTATGACAAACGTATCCAGGCACGGTAACTAGTCATTCCCAAGAAATCAGTTTGGATGTAATGCGGTTTTTTAATTCGAGTTTTTCATGGCTATGCAGGAGGGTCTAAGGACAGTCGTGATGATCCAGGACTGTTGACATTTATGGACATTTATCAACATTTATGGACCAATAACAATGTGTTTCTTATCATTGCATTTCTTGAGTTTGGACAGTTTGATTTTCTGATCTGTGTTTGTGAATTCAAGTCCTCAGAGATAACTACTGTTGGGATTTAGGGCTGTATAAGAACACATTTAATTTAATTGTTTTAAGATAAATGCAAATAAATGGACCTTTTGAAAGAGTATGATCATATTGATGGATAGATGGATAGGTAGGTAGATAGGTAGATAGGTAGATAGGTAGGTAGGTAGGTAGGTAGGTGGATGGATCGAGATGGGTAGGTAGGTAGGTGGATGGATCGATCGGGATGGGTAGGGAGGTAGGTAGAGAGGTTGGTAGGTAGGTAGGTGGATGGATGGATGGATGGATGGATCAAGACGGGTAGGTAGGTAGATAGGTAGGTGGATAGATGGATGGATTGAGACGGGTAGGTAGGTAGGTAGGTAGGTAGATAGGTAGGTGGATAGATGGATGGATCGAGACGGGTAGGTAGGTAGGTAGGTAGATGGGTAGGTAGGTAGGTGGATGGATGGATGGATCGAGATGGGTAGGTAGGTAGATAGGTAGGTGGATGGATGGATGGATCAAGACGGGTAGGTAGGTAGGTAGGTAGATAGGTAGGTGGATAGATGGATGGATCAAGACGGGTAGGTAGGTAGGTAGGTAGGTAGATAGGTAGGTGGATAGATGGATGGATCGAGACGGGTAGGTAGGTAGGTAGGTAGATGGGTAGGTAGGTAGGTGGATGGATGGATGGATCGAGATGGGTAGGTAGGTAGATAGGTAGGTGGATGGATGGATGGATCAAGACGGGTAGGTAGGTAGGTAGGTAGATAGGTAGGTGGATAGATGGATGGATCAAGACGGGTAGGTAGGTAGGTAGGTAGATGGGTAGATAGGTAGGTGGATGGATGGATGGATCGAGATGGGTAGGTAGGTAGGTACGGTAGGTAGGTAGAGAGATAGATAGATGTTTCGTCTTTCTCTTCTCTCTGCTCAAAAAGTCTCACCCCATGGGACCATTAATACAGACGCACACAGTCAAACAGGAGAAGTACAAAAGCAAAAGTACAATGTGAAATTCTCTGCGTCTACAAAGCAGCTCTACGGCGCGGCTACATTCATGCGGCGGAGAAGGTCTTGTGAAAAAAGCCAAAATGGTTTCCAGCAGAAGCCGCAGAGAGAGTCAGTGACAGCACCGTAAGCTCCGAGCATTAGAGAAAGATTAGAGCCAGATCCTGTGGCTCAGAGACGGGAATCTATCCAACAACCACCAGGTCTGTGCTGGAAATATGAGGTTTAAAGAGGAGCGAGTGACTGACAACTGTAATATTATTATGTGGAAGTAGTAATTTTCACATCATTTGTGGTTTAAAACAACAGATTATACTGTATGGCCACAATTTAGTTATAAAATGTGTCAATTTCTCTCGGTAAAATCAAGTTGTTACAGGTCAAGATACAGCATGATCCACCCCCCATGTTTGTCCCATTTATCTTCAGTAATAGTTGAATATTGTAAAACAGAAAACAAATAAATATTTGTCTTTTTGCTGTACTGCCATGTCACTTATTTTATATGTAATTTTGTATATTTTCTTTAAGCAATTGTAAGAATCTATAAAAAAAAATGTCTTGAAAAAAAAATGCATTCATATTCTCCGATATTCTTCCACTGTGCAAGCTCTATTTGGTCTTTTTCTTTCTTTGTTTGAGAAATCCATGATTGAAGTT